TATATTGAACAGAGGGTCAAATAAAGTCACCCCCGCATTTAGTAGCCGCTATATACTACCCCCACAGTCATCGTCCATTTTATGGTCGCATAAAATCATACATCTCGAATATATCATCGCTACGTTCTACGAGAGCTGTCTGTCGTCCCTCTCTCCCTCCAACCCTTCCCTCATTCTCTCTCTCTCTCTCTCTCTCTCTCTCTCTCTCTCTCTCTCTCTCTCTGTCTGGGGTGGAGGGGGAGGGGGTGCTGTTGGATATAGATATAGATTAGTACATGTTATACTGACGAGTGCTTTATTCTGCACAAACTAAGAGTGTTGAGTGGCACGTGTATGAGGAAGTGCAACGCGCATGTGCGAAAGTACATAGTATACACGCATCATACCCCATAGACAAAGTCTATATAATAAAATATATGGTGTACAATCCTTATCGCGAAGTACCGAATACGATAGAGTTTGTATAGAGTGCCGAATAGAGAAGACGAAACAAGGATAGGAGGCAGCACTATACATGGGAAATATATTCTATGGGACATCCACTGTAATCAATCTCAAGTAAAAAATTTAATTTTGAAAATTGAGGGCCCGTTCAAATACTAGCTAGGTCTGCACGGACCCACGTTTGAAAAGGGAGGCGTAGAGGGGGAGAGGGTTAGACAGACCCTGAATGAGAATTTCTCTACAAGGGGTGCATGACACATGAGGCATAACGGTTGGACTCTTATGGGGTGTTGGCCTAGGTGAAGACAGGGTGTATATCTGGCATGACATTCTATGGGGTGTTGGCCTAGGCAGTTGCTTGTATGGGGGTTCGCATAGGCACGTGTGTACTTCCAAGTTCTAGCCATGGGGGTGCGGGAAGTCATGGGTGTGGTCCGATCAATACGCATACCCTATAGATCTATCACTAGGTATTCTGGCTGTACGCGCTCTGAGGTATATCTATGTATGTTACGTAGGTTTTCTGATAGGGTTGTAGGTAGGCTAAATTAGTAGATAGAATATCGCATTAGGTTAGACCAAGTACTTTCTAATGTATGGAATCCATATAGCGCATAATATATTGTGTATAGTCAATTGAATCATAAGGCACAATTATTATTATAATATTAATTATAAAAATGTGATCTTATAATTTTTGCATTTTTTCAGCTTTTTATAAATGCAATAAAAAACAATCGTGGCTTGAGAAGCACTCACGCGCTTTAATAAAATCACTAATTAAATTTTTCAAATGTCATATGGTACATAACGTTCTATTATTTTTTTTCGATTTATTTGGAAGATATGCAATTAAACATCACGTCAACATTTTCTTAGTTTACTGCATAATTTTTATGACATTCACTTTGTTCATTTAGTATGAAAATTATGTCTTCTGACAGTGACTACCCAGGAATCACGATACCCCGGGCCCAGACTCGACCAGCTCTGGCCACTCCTGGCCCAGCCTGGGGCTAGGGTAACGGCGTTTCCTGGATAAATGAATATGACGTCATCAACCGATAACATTTCACTGATCTTATGTATCATATTTACTGTCAAAAATGTATATGCAACGTGCCCTCTGAATTCAACATAGTGTTATTAATTATTTATATACAATTTAAAGTGTCAATATAACATAGGTCGCACAAATGTAAGCATCAAATCGCATCAAGAAAATCAAACGTCATGTCTTATCCTCAGAAGCCAGTTTATCACAGGTATGGAAGTTTGGCGAGTATGTAAAAAAAAATGGCGAAACGGGTTTGAGCAATATCTACTGTGTAAGTCGTTTGGTTCGTTAGCTTCTCTGGCCTAAATGCTAGGGTGCGTGTGCGTTCTGCGTCCTAAAGAATTGCAGCGTGAAAGTTAACTTGGCAAATCGGGGGAGAATTCGTTGGAGAATTAAAATGAAAAAAAAAAATTAATCCATGGAATAAAAGATATATGATTGAAAGTATATCGAACATATAAAATATCTTTGGATAAGGGCGAAAATAGAGAAAATCATATCCGCGGCTCAACTGCTCACCCCTCAACATCATTTGTAATAGAACATTTTCTTAATAGCCATATAAAACACATCCACGTTATAACCCCCATGAGAATAATTATCATGGCTCGCTAACATACCAACTTATTAACGTACGTACATATGCTCAGTTAGTATGGCAGCCTTCGTGGTTCCTGTATAATGTATGATATATATATATACGTATAGCATAGAATAATCGAGGAACTGTAGACGTTACCAGTAGACAGAGAACAGTTCTTGCTCGAAATAACTAATAAGGAAGGAACTATTGAAGTAAAATATATTTATGTACAGCATGTGTAATAATACCGATAGTAATATCAAGAGGTGTATTATTAGCAATACTGTTTTTCTCGTGATATTTAGAGCTTTATAATAACCAAGGGTTCGTGGGAAAGGCACCATTTACGGTAGATCGGATGTCCAATGAAAGACTGTATTATCTTTGTTTAACGAGTTATCGCTCTTGCGATTCTAGGAGTCATTTACAGAGTCTTTTTTTTTCCTTCCCCCTCTCTCTCTCTCTCTCTCTCTCTCTCTCTCTCTCTCTCTCTCTCTCTCTCTCTCTCTCGCTAGCCTCTCTTTATATTCCAGGCTTTATCGTCACTCGAACGTATTCTTTGACCTAGCTCGTTAGGGAGGCAATAACTGAAGGAGGAGTTGAGTAATTTCAGTACTAAAGATAAAGAAGAACACAGACAACTTTTTAATCATAATCCGTAATGAGTATTCGAAGAAGCGAAACGGTGGGCGCAAGTGTAACGGGTGTCTTTAAAGTTCGTGTAATGGAACAGGGAGTGAAGGACAATAGTCGGAGACCTTGGAGAAGAAGAGCAGGTCAACGTGTTATTCCAAGATTTTGTTAAACCCCATATGCAAGATGGGAACAGCTGCGTTCGCTTAGGGTGCTTCTAAGAAAGACAAAGGAGAACAGGGATATCCGAGGCTTTTCAGAGTGTAGACTTTTAAAAGGGATGGCGAGGAGGGATGGAAAAGTGTGCGAGGGGAGGTTGAGAATTTGAAACTTTCATCGGTTTCTTTCCAATAGGAAGAAATAGGAAGAGAGTGGCGGGGGCAGCAGAGAGAGAAAGCATAAACAGCCCCAAAGAAGAAAACAACCCTCTACAACACTTAATCCGCCCCTGGATCTATGTGAGCGTGCTCGTAGCTCGCGCAGTCAAATTATTTAAGCCAGCAGCAACGTATTATATATTTCTCTATGGGGGCCATTTTCTCATCAATGCCAATGGCTTTTATGAATCGTGAGTCATACGTGAAAAGGTCCGCGCGCCTTTGAGGGACGCGCTCCCACAACGCGGGTTGACAGAGTCGCCCGCACGATATGTTACTGAATACTCGCTACCAGACATACAGAAGACAGATGGAAGTACAGGCAGAGTCTTTAAGAATCTTCTTGTATTATTACTATGCCCCTTCTTGTAATTTCCGTAAGGTTCGAGAAGCACTTCATTTGTTCAATTTTTCCCCTTACCAGTCAGATACAAAATATTTCCGAATTTACAACAATCGGTTTGTCGAAATTTAACGGACTTTTTTTTACGTATTTTCCACCCGACTGGATATTAAGAATCACCCCCGCACGACTCTTATTTGATTTATGCGTTATTCTAAAAATCAGGACAAGAGAGCAAAGAACGCGACTCCTGTATTCCAAAAGCGCTTCGTTAACGTTGATTGGTTTTTAAGTGACAAGCTTGTAGTTTGTACCAGGTGGGGGGAGGGGGGGGAAGGAATGAGGATGAGACGAGCGAAGGTAGAAGAGGGCAAACAAACTACTGAGATTTTATTAATTATCGTTTTCTCTTGTATAGTCGCACGATGACTCACGATGACATTTTATCCATATTTACACGGTTTAATCAGGTATGAAAATGCAAAAGAAAGACAAAATAATTAATCAGCATCCCGTGTCACGTATCAACTATAGATAGCATATGAGTTTGAATATAGGCTGAGCTATTAAACAATATTGATTTATTGATACTCGATCGTTCGATATTGTCTTGTGTTAGCGTGCGATGTAGTGTAATAACAAATTCCAAACGATACGAGCTACGATAAACGTCGAGCAACTCTGTAACATCATAAAGTCCTTTAACTTGAATAAAACTCAAGACTGTTCCAGTACGATACAGATGGAACCCGTCATACATTTTTGAATGAAAAAACCTAACAATTAATTTCTGTAGATGACAAATCCGGATTAATCAAATTTGATCTAGCATTACATGTGTGCATCGATATGACAAAGAACAAAGAAATAAACGACATGCTATAGTGATAACAATTCCTTTTTTTTGGTTCGCAGAGCACAACGTACGCTAATTCTGGAACGATGGAAGCTTCTAGCTACTCCAAAATGAATTTTATGAATTTTTTACACATCAGAACTGATGTACTGGGTTTGGAAAAAATGCCATGATACATATAAGTTATCTATATCTTTAAAGCTGATGCGCAGTTCATAGTTGTTTAACTACAGCAGGTAACAAGGAACAACCAACTCTAAATGTCAAAATTGTTTTGCTTGGGACATAGCCAATTGGTTAGTCAGTTGTAAACACGTTTGAAGATATTTTCTCTAAATGGTAGGACAAGTGCAGGAAACGATCGATCGACATTGTAGAGGCGACACACGTTTGACAAAATCATAATGCGCAATACATTATATTGATAGAGATTAATTTAGTTTTAAGGAACGGATGATGGAGTTAGCCAATTCCTTCCGGTTGGCTGAATTCGGTAAAACGTGGAGAAATTTACGAATTTTCCAGAAGATGAGCTTGCTCCAAAAGCATTAACTCTTGGCGTTCGTAATACTTTTTGGCATGGTTATCTTGCCGGCAATATTCTGGCTTTCGACCACAAAGAGTTAAGTGTGATATGTATACAAATTTAAAGAGAAAGGAAGAAAAAAATATGCATATAAACAAATGAAAAATTTCATGCGACTCACCAAGCTTTCACTCTGATTAGAACCTCTCCTTCACCAAGGGTGGGTTCAGGTTTCTTAAGGACCTTGACGCTCTTTAGTCCCCCAAATGCATTAAGGACAATCGCCCGCATGTCCTTTGGGTCTGGCGTCGGCTTCTCCTCACCATTCTCCTTAGGTTTCTCGCCTTCGCCGTTCTCCTCAATTTTTTTTTCTTCCTCCTTAGATTCCTTTATCTCCTTAGGCTCATCCTTGTCGTCCTTAGGAGCCGGTGAAGTCTCCTGCGCCGGTTTCTCACCCTCGACGATAGGACTCGTTTCGTTCTTATCCTCAGCCATTTCTAATTCCGTTATCCTTCAAGATTTAATTTGAAACCGATTAATAGGTAAGTGCCTTGACTTTTCCTTTGTTCTTCTTAGCTTCGCCAAATTACGCCGACGCTAACGCCAAACCAAATGGAGTACTTTTGCTTGTGCTGCTGTTGGTGATCCTCCGAGCTCCTCCTGGATGGAGAGGGGATGGCGAATAAAAGGGATAAACACGACTACAAACTAGTCTACTTCCACACCCGACAAGAGCTCACGTCGTTCTGCCGTTGCCGGCTCCCTTGCCGGCTCTTGGCAGGGCGACGCTGCGCAGCATTTCCGTTGCTAAGCAACCGCGCATCTCCCACTCCTCGTCCTTTAAAAGGGACTCATGCCTCACCAATGCGAATCATCGTCCAGTAACAGGTGCCCCGATATCGCCTGGTGTGCATTGCGACTAAAGGATCTCCTACGCCCGTCAAAAGTAGTTCCTTGATATGTACGTCTAACCTAGAAATCAAAACGACGATAACAAATATCAGAAACACTTAAACACTGTATGTCGAGAATATAAAAATATACAGTATTTTTTAAAATATAACCATACAGTAGCGGAAAACATAACCTATATTATCTAAGACAATCAACATTTTTCGGAATGTGTGATATGCTACTGATAACGATCATCCAGAACTGGGTAAACTGATTTATGTTCTCGTTGAATAAAAAATATGCTTTGTAATTGTGTGCAAACTGTCTTGGGAATTTTATGCTCTCGAATATCGTCAAAAGAAAATACTGGAGGTATGAATCTGATGTCATGTAAGAATTATTCTAGAAAGTCGGCTAGCTATACCCAGCACGATTTCAATTTTATTATTCAATGAAGCTACTGAACTGCAGTTGTGCATTTCTATTTTTAATATGTGAAAGGGTTGTCATTCATCTCTTTGAATTTTTTTTATTACCTCTCTATATATGTTTGTGCCTATCGAGGTGAAATGCAAATAATCATCTATTAATACTATTCTTATAGCGTTCCTGTACTTCTAACGAAAATCTTTCCAGGAAATAGCATTCATAATCCTCGTGGAATGTAGATCTCACGTAGAGCACATCTTTTGTCGTTTAGATAAAAATTCTTGGGACTACCCTGAGCAAGACACTCGACTAAAATCCCTGCCCTGGGTACACTAAAAAGGTTCCTCTATCTAAAGTCTTTAATTTAAACCAATCGTTAAGATTTAGACGCAGCATTTAGGAATGCCATTCATTCACAAATCGTACTTTTAAATCTAAATATCAACCTCTTGATGAAGTTGAGCAAGATAATAATATTTATAAGTCAAATTTTTTATCTAATAAACACATATTATCTAGATAATAATAAAAGAATCTATAACAAGTGTAAATATAACTGAATGAAATACATAATCCCCCTTCTGTATCTTCTTTCGATCAGGCAAACAATCGGTAGTTAAAAACCAAAGCATCCTAAGTAATTAAAAAACAAAAATATTAATTGGAGAGAAAAAATGAAAACGTAAATTACCGATTGCGAGCTAAGCACGTAAAAAGTCTGACTCTCCAGAAATCCCACGTAGTTAATAAATGATTTATATAGGATTTATTTATATGTATACACATGTCGTATATACAATATCAACACGTAGTGGTATATCAATCGATCCACATTGCGTAAAATACGCGTGAAATACAATCAAGTATGAAAGTAGATAGCAGTTTAAAGGATTTCATATAAACGAGATAAAATTTTCCGTGAGTCTCCTTTCGGTTTCACGGATGATCGAGGCCGCCAACCAGCAGTCACATATACACATGGCTGTGTATATATGATACTGGGTGTAACGTAGAGGGCGGAAGCGTGCGTGTCATGGGGAATGGTGGCATCTTCATCATTTTTCGACGCCGGTGACTAATACTTATAACGGCGCGTTGTCGCAAATTCGACGTTGGCGTCGGCGCTCATCGTCCTCGTCCCATTCGTTCCTTGTAAAGTAGTCCTAGCAGACGACACCCGACGTCCTTGATTGTATTACTACGCACCCGACCGGCACACGCACGTGCACGCGACGCAACGACAAGTCAGATTTACCCGCGCTTCGTGAAAACGAGTTCTTTCTTTTTTTTTCTTTCTACACTTTTTTGCGAACCGCGACGCTTATGTATTCAATAATATATGCATTGCGATTTGTAAGCGGATTATGTATTTCGATTTCGTATTGTGACGTACCGAGTGTATATTGAATACGAACTTTTATAGAATTCTTTCTGCATGATGTGTTCCTACATTAGATGACTACGCACGCGTCATCTGCGACGGTTATAATAGAAAATTCGCGAAACAATTGGATCGAGTCATGAGATTCATGCAGGCTGGCAATGAGGATGTACTGATTGGAGAGAATGAATGCTGTTGTCGGGAGGCGGTGACCGTTTCGTGCAGGGGCTCTCCTCTATTCGTTATGAGGGAATCATTTGTTGCACGGACCTAATTATTGACGGAAACCGAATGTATTGAGTTTTGTATAATTTTACTGGAATGTATATTTTGTAGTAGGAGATCCTTTTATATTTTTTGTGCAAGGAATATTTTTATTTTCTTTTTTGGATCTTCTCATGAAATTTTTGTTTAATATTCGGATTTTATAAGTTACTCAAATTCATTTTGGCTGGAATAATGTAGTATATATTTTATACGAGGGAAAAATTATAAAAAACACGTTATCATCATGTACAGCTGCGTTCAAGTCGATTACGCGAAATTGATATGGATTAAATGCTGCGGGAATTTTGAATGTTTATTTTTTTTTTTTAATAGAGCATCTTATACTGCTGAGATTTTTAATTGAAATAAGAGAATTTTGATCAGGAACATCATGTCTCATTCTGTCACGTTACGTAGAAATGAATTTATATTCTAATTTACACAAATATAATAATTTATTCATCTGAAAATGTATAAGATTATATAAATGAATGATAAAAGAATGGTTTTATTTTTTTTTTGCCAATTTTAAGTTAATTTTGTCTAAGCACACAGGTGTTAGGTGTCCATCGTCACTGTCATGATTTGCAACTATTTTTTTTACTTCCAAATCATAAAACTCCAGTCGATTCTTCATTAATGAAACGTTTCGGAATTCCAATATTGTCATGTTTGAATGATCAATTATTTGTTTCTCCATAAGACTAACTGAATCAGGATACATGGAATCTCCTGGTAGCACGTGAACAGTTCCATCCGATAATTTAACACGTACCTGCATGCAAAATAGTTTATTACCAAAAACATTCATTTTTAAGATAAATTATAGAACTTACTGGTAGATACAATCGTACCCCCATTTTTGCACGACTTACAGCAAACTCTAATAAATTATCTAGACATTCAAAATTAGCTATTCGTGAAATTTCATAATGTTGTGGCGGACCTAGTAGAACTTTTGATGAGGAAATTAAATTCTTTGGTGTGTCCCACTGTAAATATACTTAAATAAATTACTATTCAATTCAATAAAATATTTTTAACTTACAGTAATGTCTTCCATTTCAGTACTTTCTATTTTAGTCTGAGGTAGCATAGGCATACATGCTAAAAAGAATATAGTATTGTAACGCTTTCCTGTGTAAAATGTAGGTGTTAACCAGTTATTCCATTCGTGTAAGGCCCATAGGTCTGGATAGCACTGTAAACCCTCACATAATTTGTAGAATTCTGTTGCATCATTATGCACTTTATTTTGCCAAGATTGCACTTCTGCCCCTAAAAAAATAAAGAAATGTTTATTTAACATTATACGATGTTAATGATAATTCATAATTTTTTTTCTTTCTTACTAGGAATTACTTCAGCCCACTCGGATGTAGAATTATTCTTCTTTAATCTCTTACACAGTAATATTCCACATTCCTCAAATGTCTCTCTTATTGCAGTAATACGCAGAGAAATTTCTCTGGGTAATTCATTGAGTTCAGCTTTAAATATCTGTGGCCGTTTTTGATTCTCTGGAAATAGCGATGAGAAACTGTTACCATCGAAACCAAATGCTGCAAACTGTTTCTTCCATTTTAAATCAGCATCGGCTGCTTCTGTAAGTCCTCCAGGGAATACATAGGTTCCTGGCATGAAGCTTGAATTTTGATGACGTTTTAGACAGAGCAACCGGTAATCATAATGAATCTGTAGGGCATTTGTAAGTGTTTTTTTCATAATCATTTGGTATGCTCGAGGAAAGTGATGACTATAATCATAATAATCCAATCCGCTAATATTAACGAGGTTACTAGTTGCACACAACCATACGTTATTGGAAGTATATTTTTAACTATTTTTGATACTTACAGTTGTAGGAGGTAACGAACGATTATGTTTTAACCCTTGACGAGCAGCTACGATTAAACTGGCTGAATCCTTCCATGCCTTCATTATAGAATTTGTAAAATAATGACAATACCAAAGTGAGTTTAGTATGAACAAAATTTATGAAACTATGGCTATATAACCTGTCTTCAATATGAACTAGGCTAGTTTTCAATTGCATTGAAATAAGTAATAGATAGTATGTCATACATAATAATTGGACGTAAAAATTGTAAACAACAAAAAGAAACTACCATTTACATAAGATAACTTATGATTATGCTTCATTTCGTAGCTCTCTAAATAAGATAATTCCTTTAAAATATGATAAGCAAATCAGAGTGTATATAAGTGATAAGTGAATCAATATCAAATCATAATCTTTATTAATCAACAAATAACATTTTCAATATTCATTATTAAATAAAAACTTATAATTTAATAAATATGGTAATCATTACTAAATCCTTAAGATATGAAACGATTGAATAATCAAAAACATTAACAAAAATACTTGAAAAACAACTAATAAGAATAAAAATGTTGTTATTGTCATATGAAAATTTTCTATAGAAATTCCATTAGATGCATCAACTATCAATATCGATATCAAGTTTTTTCTAATTTCTCTTCAGGCTTTCCAGTTGCTGCAACCATCAATTCGTACAATTGATAAATTTGTTCGTCCCTCAATTCTTCAACATCTTTAATATTCAAATCTTGTCCTATTGGTTTAGCAGTATGTACACCCCGTAATCCAAGTTGATCCGCTAAGGTCATTGCATAATTCTAAAAGAAAAATATTTCAATTACATGGTGTAATAAAGTCACAGAAGAAGATCAAATATCTCATAACCTATATACTGTAACATTTAATTGTTTCTTCATAAATCATGAATTAAGAAATCCTTACGGCCCACTCAGTCATAAAGATTTGTGCTTCCGCAGGATTGCAAGTCTTGTGTCTTCTAAATTCATCACGCACATAATTATTACCAAGGGGTTGAATCTCCATTGGTAATCCTCGATGAAGTTTCATTATAGTTTTATACAACAGTCTGATTCGTTGTACATGGGTTAAACTTATCATATTTTCCTAAGCCAAATCACTCCTTATTTAGTCACTTCTCAAGGATATAGATATCCCACATTTGTTCTTCATATGCAACATTCAAACATACATATACAAATAAGAATAATACCCACTACCATAGCCATCTTAGTCAATTTCGCGCATCTGAAACACAGCGCCGTCATATGTAACTTTTCAAAAACTATAGCGCCCACTTAAAGAAAATGCAAAACTCAACAATTCTATCTAATTGTTGGATATGTTTATATTCTATTATTTTATCGTACTGGTATGTCTCAGGATAAAAACCTGGTCTATATTTTAAAACTATTTAAGAAAATTCATTGGTATAATAAAAATAAATATTTTTAAAAATGTACCCAGCAAACATAATATTACAGGTAACATGTACGTTAGTTGTAATTTCTTATTCATTTCCATAACGTCAGTATAATAACGCTGTTATATTTACATATACATATGTATATGAGTGCAAAATTACAACTCTGACACACACGTTACATAAAATATATTGTGCTTACTCGAGATATTATTTTAAGAGGAAATTTGTCTTGCAGTGTCGACCATATTGCATCCAAGTGACTTAAATTAAAACAACAAGTGTTTACGACATTTCGGTCTCAATTAGGACTCTCTTCGGGTAACCTACATATTTTTTTAATAATACATGTATAATATATTTGTGACAATGGAGCAATTATCACTTTATACCATTAACACTTCTTCTGCAGTTGGGATCAACCGAAATTCAGCACTCACTTTGACCCAAAATATTTCAGAATAGTTATTAATTTCTCGGCCAACTTTCGTACATTATTTTCTTCCTAGAAGTACCGAACAAGTCCAGTTACCAAGCCCTGTTAGTATCTTTGTAGTACTCAAGCAAAGTAAACGTGGGTCTGGTGAATTCCAGTGTGCAATGTTAAGTTCTATAACAAATATTTTGCTTATAAAGTAATACTTATGACTTATTAAGGTAAATGTTCGTAATTTTATTTCTGTTTTTCTAATCGATTTTAAATATGGAATGGCAAACAATTTTCGCTCGCGTAGCATCAGGGAAGCCTTCTTCCATAAACAAAAAATTCGAAGGCCATTCTTGCCATCGCTTGATGTGCGATGAGCATCTTACGTAATAATTATGCAAGAGTAGACTGCGTTTTCTTACATTGTTTCTGTATTTGGTAAACATTATCCTACGGAACTAAAAAAATATTTACATATTTTCTCAACCCTTAGAGTACCGAGCTGGGGACTTTGGATCCCCCAAAATAGTGACCCCACTTTGTCGTTTACGTTACAAAAATAAACTCTGTATTCTAAAGGTTAAATTAAAGCGTTCAATTGTATCATTTTCGAATTTTTAAAATATTTTTAAAGGCGAAATAATTTATTTCCTAAATGAAAATGGTTAGTCATTTAGTATGGACGTGAAAAAGTTCATGTTTTTCGAAAACATGACGAGTTGAAAATGGTCTGGGTCGCTCTGACCCCATGTGCAGCGATTGCCTCACCATCGAAGTGGGCAAGGGAAATGTTGGATAAAAAAAATTATAAAATACTATCATCTTTATTACAATGTATTATTTTAAATATATCAAAGGCCATATTAAATGTAGAGATAGTATTAATTAGTTTTCACAATTAAGATATGCACAGTCAAGGGCTTTCTCAATCCTCATATACAGGGTGTTTCTTTTATCTCTGCCACCCGAAATAACTCGTTAATTATCGATATAACAACAAAATGTTTCAAACAAAAGTTGTACGGTGTGGAGGGGGCCACCAAATGTGACCAATTTTTTTTATTTCGTTGGAGGCGTTGACGCACAGTGAAGGTCACCTTCACTTTTTTAAATAGAATGGTACATTTTTTTTTCAACCATCTTGTGGAGCACCTCAAGCCGCATAAAAAAGATTTAGGGGTCAAACTCGTTCAAGGTCATTCAAGGTCAGTATCGATGATACAAATCTAAATATCTCGGATCGGATTGGTAGTTTTAGACATTTGGTATTTTCAAATTTATATTTTATTTCGGCTTTTCTGGAAGAAATATTAACTGTGCTGCTTGAAGATATAACCTTGTGGGATCGGCAAAACCTCTGGTATCAACATGATGGTTGTCCAGCTCATTTTGCATGGACAGCTCGCAATGCTGTCGACCGAAAATTTAGTAATAAGCAGATTAGCCGAGGGCTTTTCTGGAAGAAATATTAACTGTGCTGCTTGAAGATATAACCTTGTGGGATCGGCAAAACCTCTGGTATCAACATGATGGTTGTCCAGCTCATTTTGCATGGACAGCTCGCAATGCTGTCGACCGAAAATTTAGTAATAAGCAGATTAGCCGAGGATCACGAATAGGCTGGCCTGCTAGATCACCGGACTTAAATCCACTCGATTTTATTTATGGGGGACATTAAAGATGAGTACCAAATATTTGGTAGTGATCCGAGATATTTAGATTTGTATCATTGATACTGATCTTGAATGACCTTGAACGACTTTGACCCCTTAATCTTTTGTATGCGACTTGAGGTGCTCCACAAGATGGTTGAAAAAAAAATGTACCATTCTATTTAAAAAAGTGAAGGTGACCTTCACTGTACGTCAACGCCTCTACCGAAATAAAAAAAATTGGTCGCATTTGGTGGCCCCCTCCACACCGTACAACTTTTGTTTGAAACATTTTGTTGTTATATCGATAATTAACGAGTTATTTCGGGTGGCAGAGATAAAAGAAACACCCTGTATATGAGGATTGAGAAAGCCCTTGACTGTGCATATCTTAATTGTGAAAACTAATTAATACTATCTCTACATTTAATATGGCCTTTGATATATTTAAAATAATACATTGTAATAAAGATGATAGTATTTTATAATTTTTTTTATCCAACATTTCCCTTGCCCACTTCGATGGTGAGGCAATCGCTGCACATGGGGTCAGAGCGACCCAGACCATTTTCAACTCGTCATGTTTTCGAAAAACATGAACTTTTTCACGTCCATATAGAGATAAAAGAAACACCCTGTATATGTATATATTGACAATACTGATGCGAATTAAATTATGACGTTAAAATAATATCTAATAAGAAAATTTCATAACTCAATTGTCAAGTATGCCTAAAATTCCAAATCACATTTTAAGCAAAAATCATTATAGACAATTGAAAATTTATAATAAGAATTTTACTTCTTATCTGTATTTTTTCTTTTATTAATAATACATACCTCAGGTTTTTTAAAAATTGCAGTAGAGCAAAAGCAAACCTTCATATTAATTATTTACACACACCGTTATTAATTCCATTCACTCTGTCGAGCAACTCGACGGTTCAAGACGATGCGATAACCCATGCCTGGTACTTTCTATATCTCTTGTTTTTTGTTCTTTTTCATTTTTATGTTATCAAACTACGCGACTTCATGTCATCTCTATAAAATAAACTATATTACTATACGAGTGTTTCCATTGATAATAGAATGGAAATTCTAATCTTGTGTTTAAGTATTTTTTTTTTATTATGATATTAGCGAGGAGGGTTGACTTATTATTGTAGGATTCTTATTTGTTGTTCTTATCTGCAGTTCGATTCATTTCGTAGGTAAACAATACAAGAAAGTCAGCTGTAAACAACCATGGCAACAATGTTTGTAGGATAAAGAAAAAGTGTGAGATAAATTGCGTAAAATATAAAAGAAACAATCAAAATGGAAACGGTTGTACAATATTAATTAGGTATATGTACTATATCGTAAGAATAAAGATATACGAGCAAAAGGAACAATCATTTAGCATTTCGAGCCTTTGAAGCTTCGAGATGTTCATAGGTACATCTTATTACTTTATGAAATTACTTTTAATTATATCGTATAAATAATATTAAGTACCTACAGTAAAGTATACTTAACCGAAATATTCAGAATTATCGATTTCGATTATTCTGAAAATATCTTATGTCAAATTTTGAAAAGAAACAATATATTCATTATTCGGCTTGAGCTTGTTGTCAATTGCCAATGCAGTGATATTCAACGTACAGTTGAAGTAGAAAGAAAAGTTGGCGTGCAAACGTGATGAGACGGCAGGCTCTCATTTTTGAAACTATTTTTAATTATCCTCTGGAGCCCTGGCATCTTGAACGTTCTAAAATTGTAATATCAGTTTTTTTAATTAGCTAATCGAATATCATTATACCAGGGGTATCGGGAGAATCTCCAAATTTGAATATGGCATCGAATTTACAATGCCACACCTCGGTATTAATAGTATCGTGTCTTGGACAACCGATAGTGCTATAACTTTACTGATTTGAAATTTTTTTAAATTCCTTTGATGTTTACTATATTTTTGTTTCCTACTATTACTACGAAAGTGCGATATGGCTGATTCAAAACAACATCCATATTCGGAGATTTTTTTGATACATCTGATGCAGATAAAAAAGAAAATTTATCAATTCATTTACCCTACTGCGACGTTCTCCATATTTGGACCAAAAAATGACGTTACAGACTGACTTTTGACCAGTCTGCTTATTAAAAACTGAACACGAAGAAAATGGTGGCGAATAAAGATGCAGAGAAACAGCTGGATTAACAGTGCTTGGATTTTCCACCCGATGAAGTCCAATGGAGTCTGAAAATAATGAATGTCGTAATTATATTGTTAAATTAATCAATTATAAATTTACATAAATATTAAAATAATTACCATTGATATAACAAACATGATTTAATCCAATTGCATTTTTATTTGTTTCTTGAAGTTCCTCAGGCTCTTCATTGTCGCCAGAGTCCCTACACGAACGTGGCCAATCATATTTGGTCTATACAATAATAAAACCAGCGTGAAGATTCAACATATACAACCTAAATAAATCATAGCTAATAAAGCATTCACAAACCTCAAGAAGTTCACCCTGAAGAACTTTCATAACGCAATGAGCATTAGCATGATCATGTATAGCAGACCCATGGCCCTCGCCCCAACACAAGATCATCAAATTAAACTTCCCATTACCCTCATCAACCAGATTTCTTGTGTATCTATAATCAAAGGTACACTAATTATTGTACAAGAATAAAAAGTATTATTAAATTCCATTTGGCACCTGCAACCCAAAGACACCCTCACTGTCATTATACTTCCTAACCAGAAACCTCATTGACCAGTTATAGCGACCAACATCTGTCGCCATACTCATTACTAAGAAATCTTTTATGTTGTACTAAACTAGCAATAGCCGAGGGCATTGCGAGTCATTTGAAAATTCTAACACCGCAATTCTGAATGCGTAACACGTTTATCAGAGCAGTAGAAATATTTTTAGTACGTAATCGAAAGTTTATACTACTCTAATGACAGTTAAATAATTAATAAAAAAAATTCGCAATTATAGTTCAAAGTCCTAGGTAAAACTGCGTTAATCAAAATATTAACAATGTATAGTGTATTATCATTTACATTTTCTACATATTTTTCTTTCACCAACTTTCTCCTATTTTTACTCTTTTCCTGAGTTTTCTAGTTTCTTGTAGGTATGCGAGACATCCTAAAAAATCGATGATCTAAATCATATCTAAATACGAAGGAGTGGAAATGGACACGTGGAGAACGTGTGTAACTAGTCACTTACAAGGCAAGTGCCTTGAGCTGCTGTATGTATGTATATGTACATGACGTATATATGTGTACAGTACAAGGTAACAATTATACGAAGAATTTATCTATAACAAGATATGCGTTGCCAGTTCAATTTTACCACAATCCTTTCTGGGGACTGTACTCGTATAATTTTAACAATAGTACCAAAGTAACGTAAACCATAATAATATGCATTCTAATTGTGCATTGGAATACGACGTAAGTTTTGCACATAACTATGCGGCTTTGTTTCTCATTGTCCCCGCGTATAAATGTCGCATAGGTATAATGCTTTAAAGGTTATCACAATTACACAACAAAAATTTATTTATTAAAGTTTAATTGTTGTGAGTTTTGGCGATACGCAATATTCGTTAATTCAAAAGTTCATTGATACAGCAAAACATTTCTCCAGCATTCTTAATCGTTTAAGAAATTCCGAAAGATTGATCAATAAAATTCATTGAGAAATTTATATATATGGATGAATTAAATTTCTCAATCATTTAGCATGGAACTTTGAGTTTGACTATTTTTATACTACACTGAAACTTTTACATTAAATGGTATAAATATATAATGTTATATCTAATATTAGCATGAAATCAAATATAATCAGTATAATTTTCATCAACTAAATGACTGGAGTATAAATTGGTTAAATTTCACTTGCACTTAAGAAATAATCCACTCTCTTTCTTTTACTCTTTCTATTTGCTTCGTCTGTATCAGTAACCTGTGATATATATAATATATAATCGCAGCATATATAGATATAGCTTGCACTGCGATTATACTTAACCACGTGAGTGTTTGCCAGTTAATAACTGTTGCACAATTTCTTGAAACGTATGACTGTCATGGTTGGTGTAAAAGTGCACGAGAAATATTTGTAAATTAATATTTGTAAGTAATTAAAATAAAATAGATTTTTGTATCACACATAAATTAGTTTTTAGCGGTACCATGTGATTTTATCTCCATAATAATTATGTACTCTGTTATAATAGCGTCTAACTAGTGAATCAGATGTTAAATATTTCAATCTAATATCGAATCATAGAAATTGAAAGTTAAATGTGATGTTGATTTTGTATAAAAAATGTTTACCATTGATTTTATCTGGCACATGTGTTTTAATGGACGGAATCCATTAATTGGATCATTAATATAGACACATTTGTTGGTTTGATCAATGGATTTCAATTTCATGGTTAATAAGAAATATTAATCGATAGCGTTACGAGTAACGTGTTTCTTTTTTTTTTAAATTTCCTTGTTAGTTGACTAAACGGTAATATTTGTGAAGTTCTTTTAATTGTTTATTATATGTGTATTTTTTATTCACTGATTCGTTATATGCTTATCGATATTAGATTAAGAACACGGTTGCTAAATTCTGTTGGCGCAAAGTTGGTACATCGTTCGCAAAAAGAAGACACAATATTCACAAAAAGTATATTGAGAAAAATATGTTGCGATAACCCCTATTTAACCTCGACTCTTCCTCCACAGTTTCATAACGCGCGATGTTCCTGTCAATTTTTTCCAACTAGCTATAGGATTATTTCAATTACTCTAATGCATAGACCTACTATTAAAGTTTTTCTTTTTTTAATGAAAAAGCTACCTAAAGGGAAGCTTCTAAAAATCTTATTCATTTAATCCAATTAAATTGTTCATTAAACTTATTATGGCACAAAACGACACAACTCGGTACAAAGCTCAACAATTGGTTACAAAAATATTCTGCTAGAACCAACCAATCGTCAGACTCCATTTATGTTGCGTCGAACTGTGTCTCTCAATTGGAAAGCTCGCAATGTCTTCGTGACGTTTAAATGAATTAGTATTGGCATAATAGATTTAAAAAATAAACAAATCACCTGTATCTGTCGAATTTGGCGTATTTTTTCCACTCCTGAGGATTGCTTTTGTACGAAGCCATGATTGCTTGAACATGATCAATGTCGACCACATCGGTGTTGAAGGCATTATATAATTGATCAATCAATTCCTGAAGAGTAGATACCTTCCCTTGAAGTAGGTCGTTGTACTTGTTATTCTGATGTAGAGTGTTCTTCTTGTTGTTGTTATTGTTGTTGTGGTACAGAGAATCCGGCGTACACACATCCATTATTATAAATTTTCCTCGACTTACACTGGACCTTCTCTGATGATCTTCAAGTTTTTCAGATACCACTCATGCAATGCGTAATCAGTTCACGATCGAGTGACTACTCAAACTGATGAATACTCTTGGATATCAATGTTAAGAAATGCTTTTCTTCTAAATTAAATTGTTGCTCAGCTGGTCAAGATATCGAGTGTTCTAGCACGACTACGCTACGTCCTCTACGGTTGGTTCCTGTCTAGCAGCGGAAGCACAGCATCTTATATGCAGCGCGAGATATCCCCTACTCCAGGGCTGTAGTTGACTTATTACCAGATTATGGCTGTTTCGATTCTGCCAAAGATCACTGCTCTAGTGACAACCACAATTTCAAGTGTGACCGGAATTGTTGTTGTGTAATTGTAGTTGTAGTAGTTATCAACTCTGGTGATTTCGAATGTACAACGAAATATTAGTATAGTCGGATAACTATACGATGAACATTTATTATTTTTTGCCGTGCTTAGGAATTATTTAATGATAGTTTGATTAAAGTGTGTTGACTTTGATAAAACGATAAATATGGGAAGATAAAATAACCAAATTGTCTGGATATTCGCATCTCATCTTAATTGTGGAAATTGAGTAGGTAAATTTTATCTTGAGTCTAGCGTGCCTGTGATTACTAACTTTTTCTTGATTGCACTAATGTTGGTTTTTTGTTTTAGAAAGAACAAGGATCCCTTGAAGTTGTGCAGAGACATTGGAAGTTCTTTGAAATTTGTAAATTGGTGTCTGTCATTTTGGGTAATGGAATGTCTCTGTGGTGACATACAGAATTGTCGCATTTACATGATCTTGATCTACTTGTTTCTCTTGATATTGTGCATCTACAAAAAGGTCTGAAATATTATACTAATTTTCTTAGGAATTAAGAGTAGCTTACCTGCAGGGTGAGCATTTGCAATAGAAGCACTTAGTATGTGACCGACATTTTGCTGATCTACTTTGTCGACAATAACAGGATGTTGGTTTATATCTGTCCTTAACTTTCGATGACGATGGGTTCCACGATAACGAATTGCAAGTATTTAAGGTGCACTTGCAGCTGCTAGGTGATTGACTTTGTGATCTGGGTTGATCAAAACTGTCACATAATTATATCCGTTAATTTAAACAATTCTTAATACTTTTTTATTAGAGGAATTCACAGCACTCCTGTACTTTGCGTACTTTTTTATACGTAAATATTTTTTGGGGAATATCCGTTACTTCAAACAATTCTTAACCTTTGATTAGAAAGAAAAAAAAACTTGCTTGTCTAATTCTGTTCACATAAGATTAAAACCAAAAACAATACGAAAACAACTCGATATTCAAGACACACGTACTGTGCCATGGCAATTTTGTTTGTTTATAGTTGAGACTCTCAGAGTTACTGACGAAAATGAAATTCCTTGCGTAAATAAGTTACGGTATTTCCCACCAATAGCCATTCCAACGGTATCATTAACAGGATTCTTGGCATACAATACAACATTTAGATTACCAATAATCAGAGAAATTAAGGGATCGTTAAGTTGTACGTTGAATACCTTTTAGTTTTGTCCTCTGCCACTTCCCTGGTGATCGGTTGGAATTCGTTGTTAAAGACACAACGGCATGGTGCATTTTTACATTCCTTGCAGGTAACAGATTGATTTATCTTTTCTTGCAGTTCTGTCATCACTTTTGAAAATACTCCAAGTCTTTGATACGGTAATTCCTCGGATCCGTATGGTTTCTTGTTGTCAAAACAACAACACTCCTTAGGAAGATTCTTGAAGTCTTCTAAAGTTCTGGAGAAATATTTTTCGATATCTTTTGTAGGTTTCCAAGCAGTTACGTATATCATATTGTCATCATCTTGGACAGATACATTATTGTTCATATTGCAATTGCAAGTTGCAACGTCAGTGATCTTGTCACAATTGCAGTTGTAGTTGTTTTTTGTTAGGTTATGGTGGAAACAATTACAAACGGGATTTTGGCAGGTGCATCTTTCATGGGGATTGTCGCAGTGGGTACTGTTGCTTGGGTTCACACATATCATTGTTTTGATGTTGTTGCGATTGTTGCAGCTGCAGTTATCTTCGGGGCAACAACATATTATACAAACTTGAAAATCTTTTTCTGGTTCTTTGCAATTACAAACACGATCAATTTGTTTGGCATTTTTAGATTGTATAAATTCTGTATAAGAATGATATATGTCATCATCTTCTATGCTAAGAGACTCGCTGTTTTCGGTAATCTCGATACGGTTAACGTTGTTATCTTCGTTAGTTGAAACAGAGGATTCTTCAGGATCCTCTGATACCTGCAAATTAACTGATTCTTTGGTAGTATTTAAATCAGGCGATACCTTGGGACTGTCCACATTTTTAGAATCTTTCGGAATTATTATTTTTAGCGAATTCGTAAAACTTGTTTGAGTTTCTATTTCTTTGCTATTAGTTACAGAGTTTTTTGTGTCTTTCGTAATCTGAGAATCTGTCGCACTTATTTTATTGGATGATTGTAGACTCCTGAAACTTTCAAGATTTTTTGATTCTCCTGAATTACATTTTTTTATTCTTCTTGATCCCTGCGTATGATTGGTAATTGATTTTACTGTATCTTTAAAACTTTTTGTGTCTTTGATAATATGAGAATCTTTCGCACTTATGTTATTGGATGATTGTAGACTCCTGAAACTTTCAAAATTTTTTGATTCTCCTGAATTGTATTTTTGTATTCTTCTTGATCCCTTAATACGATCGGTAATTGACTGCACTGTATCTTTAGAACTTTTTGTGTCTTTGATAATCTGAGAATTTTTTGCACTTATTTTATTGGATGATTGTAGATTCCTGAAACTTTCAAGATTTTTTGATTCTCCTGAATTATATTTTTGTATTCTTCTTGATCCCTCAATACGATCGGTAATTGACTGCACTGTATCTTTAGAACTTTTTGTGTCTTTGATAATCTGAGAATTTTTTGCACTTATTTTATTGGATGATTGTAGATTCCTGAAACTTTCAAGATTTTTTGATTCTCCTGAATTATATTTTTGTATTCTTCTTGATCCCTCAATACGATCGGTAATTGACTGCACTGTATCTTTAGAACTTTTTGTGTCTTTGATAATCTGAGAATTTTTTGCACTTATTTTATTGGATGATTGTAGATTCCTGAAACTTTCAAGATTTTTTGATTCTCCTGAATTATATTTTTGTATTCTTCTTGATCCCTCAATACGATCGGTAATTGACTGCACTGTATCTTTAGAACTTTTTGTGTCTTTGATAATCTGAGAATTTTTTGCACTTATTTTATTGGATGATTGTAGATTCCTGAAACTTTCAAGATTTTTTGATTCTCCTGAATTATATTTTTGTATTCTTCTTGATCCCTCAATACGATCGGTAATTGACTGCACTGTATCTTTAGAACTTTTTGTGTCTTTGATAATCTGAGAATTTTTTGCACTTATTTTATTGGATGATTGTAGATTCCTGAAACTTTCAAGATTTTTTGATTCTCCTGAATTATATTTTTGTATTCTTCTTGATTCCTCAATACGATCGGTAATTGACTGTATTGTATCTTCAGAACTTTTTGTGTCTTTGATAATCTGAGAATTTTTTGCACTTATTTTATTGGATGATTGTAGATTCCTGAAACTTTCAAGATTTTTTGATTCTCCTGAATTATATTTTTGTATTCTTCTTGATTCCTCAATACGATCGGTAATTGACTGTATTGTATCTTCAGAACTTTTTGTGTCTTTGATAATCTGAGAATTTTTTGCACTTATTTTATTGGATGATTGTAGATTCCTGAAACTTTCAAGATTTTTTGATTCTCCTGAATTATATTTTTTTATTCTTCTTGATCCCTCAATATGATCGGTAATTGATTTTACTGTATCTTTAGAACTTTTTGACTCATTTGCTTTTGTGACACTTGTCACATCTGCACTTGTCACCTGCGCATCTTCTTGAGTCTCAAGGGTATCTTTACTTATTTTTATTTTGTTACTTTCTGTAGTTTCTTTATTTCTATTAGATTGCTGTAACATTTTCTTTTTAGCTATTAAAACTATTAACTTTGCCTTGGAAGCATTCTCCTTATTTATCTGAAAAACGTCTTTAGGACTTTCTACCTTATACCCATCATCTTTCATCTTATCTTGGCCAATAATAACATCCTTAGATGATTGCCTTATCAGAATTGTTTCCCGTGCTGTTTTCATTTCTTCAACATCTTCATCGTTCACAAAATTTCTAGGATGTGCTCGACAAGATGAACCACAACCTCTTCTTTTCTTATCATTCATACTATCAGCGACATTCGAAATTCCAATAAATTGCTTGACTCGTTTCACGACCCGTTGAAAAAAGGACTCTTTTCGATTTTCCTTTGATTCCGAATTTTCCCCGGTTTTACCATCTAATTCTTCTTTTTCTTCCTTTTCAGTCTCGATTGTCATCTCAATTTTCGAAAATGGCGCTGAAGCGACTGATGATGTTAATTTATCTTCTTCCATAATTACTGTCTGTTCAACGCTTCTTGACGCTGATTTTACTTTCTGTGTTGTTACAGTATCTAACCTTTTATCTGATATAAAAGGTGAAGTTATAATAGATGAAGTCATAACAGGTGATGCAATTTTGGCATTAGAAATATATTTTTGATGCGATTGATCTTTATCTTTAGATAAATGTGCTTCTGATCCAATTTTCTCAGGAGGTTTATCCTGATATTTTTTCTCATAATTTATAGACGATAACAGCAACGAAGACTTCTCGTGTTCAGACTTTGCAGATACTATAGTTACATCATCTTTCACATTTGATTTGTCAACACTTGCTTTCCCATTGTTGCCATAAGAAGACGCCACATAAACTTCTTTTCTTTGAGAGTTAATTTTTTCAGGTAAATCTTCTTCATTCAAATTGGTATTATTTACTTCTATTTCCTCTTTTAAGGTACTATTCGAAATAAAACATTGTTCAGCACAATTTCGTCTTTGAGAAGTACCAATATTCTTAAAAAGCTGATCCCTTTGTTTTGTACCTTTTATACATTTTTTTAACATATTATTTAGTTTCGTTCTAGGACACTGTTCTAATTTTTTATTTCTTCTTGGCGTACAATATATGCAAACTTCTTCTATTTCTGATTCCTGCCATTTTCTGCCAAATCGGTCTTTTCGTTTATTATTATTTGCGTTATACACATCAGACTGTTTAACGGATGTTACAGATCCTTTTAAGGATCTACCGTTAAGGACCGTATAAGGACTAACCGTTTTTGTACACGAATAATTATCATCAACAGTACCATTCGCTATTATTGAATTATTTTTTGTACACCACTTAACATTCATTGGATAATTATTTTTAATATAATTTCTTTGTTTCATTGATCTTCCCTTTATGTAAGGACAATTCAGTGCAGTGCAAGAATGATCTCCGCCATTATTGTTAAGGCGATCGAAATTTTTATTACTTTTTTCAAACTCTTTTATATCATTCTCATGATCTGTATTAGTAATCGCTGTCTCATAATTCAATACCGGATCTAAGGGTGGTGGTACGTACGAACCAGTTACTACGTCATTTAGATGATTTTCCTCCTGAGGAACTTCTTCGATACGAGATTCTAAATCGGTTTCAGATTTAGGACATAAGCATTGCAGTGACGATTTTTGTAATCGTCTTCGACGTTCTAATAAATTGGCGATCAATTTATTTGATGAAATTGTTGAAACACTAGCTTTTATATCTGTTTCTGTGTTCGTAACGGAACCTGATTCACGGGATTCTCGGTTTTCTTTCTCATTACCGGCTTCCGAGCATATGTAAATATTAACATTTCCTGTCATTTTACGATTATCGGTAGTAGCAGAATGCTTCAAAGGCTTTTTTAACGATTTCATAGATTTTATAATCTTATTTGACTTGGACTCCAATTTCTCAGCCAAGTATGGACAAGTGATTTTGTTACATTTATTGACAGTATAATTTCGAATGATTTCATTATTCTTAATAAAATTCACGTCACTTGAAATCCTTTGATTTTCGTATACGTTATTTGTATTAACTGACAACGGATCAGTTTTTTTATGAAAACCATTAAAAATATTCGTAGATCTATCTTCCGCGACAAGATTTTTTATTTGGCCTCCTGGTTTTTCCCCTATCTTCTCAGGTTTTTTGCTACTATTGCTTGACAACAATGGCTGCTCGTTTGACAATAGTGAATCTTGCTTCATCCTCAAAATATTCGGCGTCTCCTTCACTATACTTTGAATAGCTTCCTTTATTGAGTTATTTATTATTTCCGTTAATTTCTCTGTATTCAAATTATGTTCACCAACGTTCTTCCTGCAGGTTTCACGATTGCAGGATGTAAAAACGTAATGCCTCCCATTCCTTCCTTCCATCTTCCCACTCTTTATTCCTGGACCCAATCCTGTATGCTTATCCGACCAACGACCATGTTCCTTTTCTTTATTTCTCTCAGGTTCAAAAGATTTTTTCATTTTTATTTCAGCTGGCTGCTTATCACATGCTTCCTCATTTAAATCACTTGTTTTTTCTGTGTTAATACGTTTTTGTTGTACTATATTTCCTTGTTTTATTAATCCATTGTTTTTCAATTGTTCAACTTCTAAATTCTGACTATTAACCAACATCTGATCAGGAAAGTTTGCACTATTAGGTGTTGATTCGTTCTTACTCTTTCCATTATATTGCGATATATTTTTCTGTAAATTTGAATTACGTTTTTGTTTAAAAAGTCTCTGATGACCTGAACTTGATGTAGACATCACATGTGCTATTCAAATTGGACGTGACACTTGTATAAGACGATGATCACATTTATGCAAAGTTTGTGCACAAATTACAAACAAAACTCCTATTTCGAAATATCTTAATGTCTTTGTGGATCCTGCGTCTTGCGGGCCTCTTTGAAATTTTCAGAATTCCTTCTACAACACATTCCTTCTCGATTTACTCTTCTATCTCTGATCGTTATTATTGAATCATGGTGGTTTGATTGACGATATTGTTGTCTCTGCTGTGTTCTGTTTGACTGTACAGAAAAAATTAATGTTTAAAAAATTTTTACAATAAATTTCGTAATCATGTCACATTTTAGCGCGATTCTTGTACATATAATTCCTGTTACTAGCTAGGTTAAGTTTCTTGTCCATTTCGAAAGAAGGTATGACAAATGAACAATGAAAAAATGTTGATTTTTCAAATTGTTATTTCTATACATATTCATATCTCATTACAGTTATACTTATACGTACCATAGGAACTGTTGTTCGTCCAAATATAGATGTCAGAATAATATTGGCTGCCTTGGCTAAACTTCTCAGTACAAGTGGTGGTGAAAATTCTAAATGACTCGTAGGATCATCAACATTTCCGTCGTCGAATGCCTAATTATTTATCACATAGTATTAATCCGTCGGTAACACACAAGGAATTTAAACAAAATTATAAATTACGGAAAATTGTCGTCTCAAGTCCCGATGATAATGATGATGACGAACGCGTAAATTTTCTTGTTCACAATGACGCTTGTACCCGTATCTCTGTCTATATTGCGGATGCTGCAACCAAAACGGACCCTGTTCGTGATATGGAGGTGACATGAAATTTGGCTCGTATCTGAAATATGGATAATTTTTTTAATTTGTTTAAATGTATACATTATTTTCAAAGACCTTGGCGAAATCCCTTGACTGACTGTTCCACAAACGGGAATTGTTCGATTACAATAATGACCTCTGATTGTGCTGCAATTTAGTGTGACTTTAACATATGGAGTAAATTCTACTATGTTCGACAGTATAGAGTATTATATAGACCTGGGACTGGAATCTTTCTGGCCGTACATGATTAAACCGCAGCAGGTAAGATTTCCATTTTCAGAATAAATTCTATTAGAATTATTGTTTTTGTTATCCATTTGAATATGAGGCGCTAAAGGATTTACATTTACATAATGATTTGCGGTCCCTTCAGGCGGTAAATTATCATTGTATTTTTTTAAACTATTTCTTGAGCAATAATTTACACGATTCGATGCACTATCATGGCGACAGCTTTTGGATGATTCGAATTTGTTAGATACACTTTTGACGTTGTTAGTTGTTTTTAATACAGTGTAATCGCTTTGCACATATTCTTTAGAGCAATTACATTTCTGTCTATAAAATTTATTAGAATCGATTAACAAAGAAGGATTAGTTTCTTCTTTTTCTTTATCTTGATTGCTAAGCTTGCAGCTTTCACAAATAAATGAAATCATTGAAGCTGTGTGGTGATTATTTTCTTTCGTGACTGTAGGATGAGTCTCTATCTGGCTTTTTATCCGTTTAGAATTTTGGTATATTTTATCCCTGTGTCTTCTATGCAAAACTTCATTATTTTTCATCGATCTTGTTGTATCCTTATTTAATATATCCCGAATCTCAATATCATTCTTAAAATGAATGTTTTCACTTTTCTTATTTTCTAACAATTTTTCAGGATATCTTTCATTAACTTCTGACTTTGCCCCACGCTGATCCAATATGTTGTCAAGAAGTTCACGTTCTGTATTAGTAATAAATCCACTTCTAAGACAACAAGCAATATTTGTAATAAAATTATATTATTATAGTAATAAATTCATAACTACCTCGTTATCCTGTTCTCCACCTTTTCCTCAATATCTTGAAAGCTTATAAACTTCTCAGTTTGAAAATTGCTACCAATTGAAGAATTACTTTTTACATTATTCGGTGTTTTCTGATACTCACATTTTCGTTCCGACATACGTAAATGATTTTCGGCATCTCTTTGCTCCGCGTAGACATTTGTCATTGACGATATCATTTGTCTAGGACTTAGAATTTCTTGAGCACTGTAAGCAAAGCTTCTCACGTCGTCGTCCATGGACGACACAATAACTTCTGTACCGTTTGACAATTTTCTCAGTGTCACTTGATTTGATTGAGCATTCAGCCAATTTGAATTATCTGATTGAATCTTAAATGTCAAGAGATCAGTTGACTGAATGTTCTTGAACTTGGCCAATTCACTGACTGGGCACGTCGACGTTTGCGGTAATCGTGAAACTTTCGCAACCGGTTTCGCTTTATTTTTCCTTATTCGAGCGCTCAACTTTCTCAACAGTGACATTCGTTTTTTATTAAAAAACGAACAAGTTTTGGTTAAAACATCCCCTCCTATTAATTCACCATTAACAACCCTATCTCCTATTTCACAACAGGGACCACCAACCTCTTCCTTCAGAAATTCCCTAATGGTATCATTACCATCCAACGATTGTTCAGATTTTTCATTAATCGTTTTATTAGCATTCTCTTCACCTATCTCTTCATGCCTCAAAGGGTGTACTTCAATGTTCATGCTGTTATCATTGCCAGAATTTACAGGTTGAGTAGGAACAGTTATAAGTTGATTTGAAGTATCAACTGTTGAAACAGATATTTCATTTCTCTTTGTATTTAAATCAATACTAGTTGCACAATTGTCGAAACTTCTGGTTTGTTCAGTAGACAACATTTGTTGATAACTCTTTGTTAATTCTAACATGTTTGCAGCGTGACAAGACTTTTTGTAATGGTAACCATAATTTGGTAATAGATAATCATTTGCGTATTGATTCCTTTGATAATTCAAATAATTAAGCTGTTCAGGACAAATTGGTTGTTCATAATTTTTATATATTTCAACAGTTGGAGGCTTCGATTGTGACATGGTGTATCTGTATAAAGAATTTTGACCTACTGTTTTATGTATAATAATTTCAAAATAATCATAAATTTAATATAGTCAAAGATAAACGTACTGTTCCATTCTTTGACGTTGTTCTTCTCCAGGGAAAAATGGTACATCAAAATAATAACTTTTATCTCTAGCAAAATGGCGAGTTCTTCGAAAGAAGCCATTAGTTTTAGGTTGACGTCGTGTCCTCAAAGACGATGCTTTATTCACTTGAGGAAAAGATTTGGCTAAGTTTCGAGTAAAATTTGGCACTTGCTGAATCGGTACGGAATCAGTATAATAAATATTATAAACTGGCGATTGTCCAGCTGACATAAGTTGTTTCTTGATTTTACGTCGTTCCATTAAATTAGGCATTGTTATAATGATTTTCATAAGACTGACTTATGATTGACTAGTCTCGTTGTTGTCTGTTGTATCTTCGAAGGATATCAAATCGGTTGTTATATCTTCTTGTTCCTCTCGACAGGAAATTGATATCTCAGTCAGGGATTCGTCAACAGTCCCTTCACTTTGATTTGCTTCACTTTTTTGATAGAGACTTGAGTTCATCTCTTCAGGACACTTACATGGTCTACTTTTATTTGACTTGAAATAATAAGAAAACTATTAATTTATTAATGCGATGATAAAACTCGTACGCAAACAATACATTAAACTGTTCGACGAGCCAAATATATTACGTAAAGTGGCACATTGCTGAGAGACACTAAAATTTTTCGATTTTGACAGGTAAACAGTGACATAACGTCAACAATATATAAGAACTAGTTTCAAGTTTTTCTTTCATTTGAATTGTATGTATATATTACTAATGCGTAATATTTTAGTGAATACCTTAAACACGTTTAATATCTTTTTGCTCATTCTGGATATGGTATTGGGCATTAATTTATTTTTATCTTCAGTTGGAAATAATTGCTTAATTTCTCTTAAGTCATCAATATGTCGATCAGTTGTAATTAATGGTTTCATTTCTTCTGGATCTTCATGCAAGATATCAGAAATTCTTTTTCTCTTATATTCGTGTATCACGTCTTTGAATGCCTGAGTCTCTTGATAAGGAAGCCTGCCAGAACTTTCCTATGTAGGATGAATTTGGAAAAAGAAAATAATTAAGTTAATTAATTATAATTAAGATGATTAATTATTTCTCACCAATTCAAGAGGTTTACTCATTGTTGTATTGATACCAGTTCCTTGATCCTTCATTTCGGATGATATCAATAAATGATCTGATGTTTGAGTACCATCAGCTTTTCTCTCTTTGGCTTCCCTTTCTTGAATCAATTTTATTTTATCATGTTCCTTCAGTTCTTCAATCAATTCCGGTTTTTGAAACAATGGCAGAAATTTCTCCAAAATGGGAATCGCATATTTTTTACGACATTTATCAATCACTGATTTTTTGGGTTCTTTTATCTTTTTTCTTTTCTTTTCTGCTATCATCTTTATTTCTCTATCTCGTTGTCTTCGATTGCTGCGGTAGGAAATTCCATAATAAGGATCAGTGTCTTTTTTATAGTCTCTTGGACTTGGATAACGTCGCGAATGTCTGTAAAATAATACATTATTATTAAAGAAAAATAATATAATCAAAATAATTATAAATTTACCTGATACGTCCAGATTCAGGTACAATTGTATTTAGTCGCATTGGAATATACATAGGAGCACGAAATTCCTCTCTTAGATGATAACGAGGAGAATCATGTTCTCCAGGATGGTGATTCCGATTATAATAATCATATGGATTGGGATAATCATTCATATTTCCCAAGATGTTTTCATATGCGTTATCCCTGCTTGGATTATACCTGTGACGCAAGTAATCATAATTTCTCGCTGCTTCGTAATCAGCACCTTGTCGCAAATCATAACATGGCGGATTATCACCAGAACCGTGATAAGTCATAGGCTTAAATTCAGGTACAAAGTCTTTATGTATTTGTGCAGGATAATAATTTTCTTCATTTTTATATCTTATATGTTTCACATGCTTGTCTCTTAAAGCTCTTTCTCTATGACGATTTCTCTTATACTTTTTTGTCCATTTATTTGCACACTGCTTTTCATTTTGTTTTCTTCTTTTTCTTTGCGGTGAAGTTTCTTCGTCGGTTAATGTTGATCTGTGAGAGTGTTTATACTGCACTTTATAAAAACAGCTTTCAGGTTCGCTGTAATATTCATCGTATGAATCTGTATGGTGTGCTTTTTTCTTGACATACTTTTTATGTTTTTGGGTTTTATTGTACTTTCGGATATTACGTTGTACACGTGAAGTAATTGGTATTTCGGTTGAAGAGTTTTCACTGTCGTCTGTGTCAATGCTCTGATTATATTTCTGGAAGTTTGTTTGAGTTGCTTCTGTCTTATCTGGTGCGTCAGTAGCTTTATCCACTTTTAATGCCAATTTATTATTATCTATTTGTAATGTTTGTACGTTGTCTTTATTTTGATGAACTGTTTTTTGTGTTACATCTTCAGGAGTGTTTGAAAATCTTCTATTTTCTAATGACTTCTGAACTTCTTGCTTTTTTCTCATATTTTCTTCTTCATCTCTTTCGTCCGATGTTGATATTCTAACTGCTTCACTTTGCTCTTTAAAACTTGGTCTTTTTAACTCATCCGACAAATCGTAAAGTGTCGATTTTATAATCTTACTTTGTTCATTTTCTTTTATTCTTAAATCAGTTTCACATACCATCGTTGTATTTTCTGGCTTTAACTTATTACACGATAAGTTACTATTTGACAAGCTCCATTGTTGTTCCTTCTGCGAACTCCAATTTGCCGATTCCATCTCTTCCTGAATGGTAATCTTAGATTTTTTGGAAGTACTTTTAATATCCCCGCCAGTATCTTCAATATATTCTTCAGCAGTGCTTTGTGAAGATGCACGTGGTTTTTTAGAACATTTCTTACAACAAATTTTTCTTTTTCTGCCTAATAGAGATTTTTGGTGTGAGAAAAAAGTAAATCATTTATTTTCGTTTAAAGCAAATTTTGTTATCAATACTTTACTTACCACGAGAATTTACTTTAGAATGGGAAGCTGGACTAGTGGAGCCAGTAACATCAATGTACTCATCGGTTTCTGCAGGAGATGCTATATCTTCACTTTGTGTCTTTTCGTCCCTTGAAGTCTCATCAGTAGCTTCTTCTATAATACTCATATTCACCGAATACGCCTTCTTGTCCGTATTCTTTTCATCGGTGATCGGCATGGAACTCGATTGCATATCCTGAATAATTCAACAACGTAATTAAAAATATATAATCTAAAGTCACAGATTTATATAGAAAGAAATTTCTTACGGGTTGTTCAAGAATGTCAATAATATTCCAGGTACTCTGAAAAGCTCGAATATCCGAAGTAGAAGTTTTAGCATCAGTCAATTTATTCAAATTTTCAGTTTGTATGCCTTTAGTCGGAGAGGATGGAAGTTCTTTTTCGTTAATTTCAGCATAAAATGTCTCTTTGGCGACTGGCTTCAAGTAGCTAGTACACAATAATTCTTTGCACTAGGTACAAATTGAAATATCAATTGAAGTAATACCTTGGCATTTTTCTAATAATATAATTTTTCTCATGAGGATATTTGCAACTCTCTTCCGTATAACGTTTAGGACTCCATCTTGATGATAATCCATATTGCTGGTGGGACTTGTCACTTTTCAAGTAAAGATAATCCTTATCAGAATTTTCCAGATGGCTAATTTCTCTTGCTTTCTTTCTTCTTAATTGCGCTACATACTCAGAAGTTTCGATTTTATTTTTATTTAATAAACCTTTTTTCTCGTTGTACTCGTCAACACAAGACGATAGCGAGGAACTTGAAGTCAATGTCGATGAATGTGACGCAGCCACTGACAGATTTTTTTTCAACCTTCTGACACGCTTATAACTTTGTACCGGCACGTTTGGATATTTTGCTTGCAGCATGTGGACAATTTTGTTCATCAATGTCGACTTTTTTTCAGGTGACTCACATTTTATATTCGTATCTTCACTCTGGATAAGCATTAAATGCAATTGATAAAAATTACAAAAAAGCTACATAAAAATTCGACGTCAAAAAAGGGATCATCAAGCTAAAGGGCATACTGCACGTTTTCCAATCCAAGAAATTTGGGAAAGTGCTGCAATGACTTTTTTAATACGATTTCTTTTTTTATTCACTTCACTCTTCGTCAACAATTCATGCTCATCCGTATCATCTACTACTTCTATTTGTATCACTTCTTCTTCTTCGATTTCTTCTGTAGACAATGACTCTGTATCTGCTATTGATGTTGATGATGTAGAGCGATCATCAGGAGTCGATGAAGTTGAAATTTTGCATTTTCTTGATCTCAGTTTTCTAGTCGCTTTCACTAGTAGCCCACAGCTTTCATCGTCGGTAGTGGAATTTTCATCAATAATCAACGGTTCATTGAAAACCTTTATCAGATCATAATAATATTAGTATTATTATTCTTGTTGTTACTGTTTAAATGACAAATATTCTATGTCAATAATTTTTAAGAGTATTTGTCGTACTTGGGTCGTGACGTCATCTCTTATCTTCTGTGTCTCCACGTCCCGGAAGGGAATTCGTTCATGAATGAATTCAACCTCATCGGGCGATTCGTCCTGATAACCTAATTCGAAATGTTCATTGTTTATATATTGAAAGTGTGTTACAATAGTCAAATTTGACATTGATGTATACATACTGTAACTGTAATTAGAAGAACTGCTCGAATCTGGACCTTTTGAATCTCTTATCAACTTTGGCTCTTCACTTTTATCTATTTTTATCTCGTATGCTTTCTTATCTATATGATCATCCTCTCTTATACTTTCGTCTATAGTTTCTCTATCTGTTGACATTTCAAGATTTTCTCGCTCAATATATTCGCTCTTAGGTTTTGAAATTATATCCCCTTCATCTTTTATTGTCTTCTTGTCTTCCTCTTCATTCTGTTTGTCCTTCACTTCTGTTTCTTCCTCTTCTTCTGTTTTTAATCCCTGCTCCTCTTCAGTCACTTCCGTTTTATTCTCATCCTCATCTTCATACTTCTTTTCTGCACGATATTTATCCATTTTTTCTCGCAGTTGTCTGCTTCGTTCAAGTAACGCTTCGTCCGCAGAAGAGTCTCTGTTATCAAAATATTTTTTTAAAATCCAACTTTATTATACTAACAGCTTTAAGTACTATACTTTTCTTCACTCATGTCCGATAGATCTCCGTAATCCAAGGGAGACATACAGATAGTGCATAAATTTTGCAAATCGGAGAAACACTGTACACAAAACAGACCTACGCAACCAGGCGTGGGACACTTTATATGAGGAATTTGATTGTCTCTCTGTACTGCTCCGCACAAAAGACATAAATTTTCTTCCTTAGGACATAATTTGTTAATAATTGGACACTTGGCAGCTAGTCGATCTCTCAATGTAATCTTTTCAATTCCGGCGTTGTCCGCCATACCATATTTCCGACGTAGCTGTCTTCTGGCAAACTTTAAAAAACTGCCCCTCGACCTGCGTAAGTTGAATAAAATCACTTCAAGACTCTTGTAACAAGAGAAAGAGAGAGAGTTTATTATTCCGGATGAGATCAGCTAGAATGGCGCACCTAATAATATGATTATACAACCATGCAGCTCGTTGCCTCGCCCTTTCCGGATGATAATAGCACATAACAACGTGTCTAAGTCTGAGACCATATGGTTCAAAAATCGCCATTATCCAACAGAGCAATATCAATGATACTATCTGAGTATATCTATCCAAATCTGGTGGTACCGGATCTGGAAGACATGGCATTGTATCTATCTGCATCTCTTCCCCCATCGGCGTAAATGCACGTACGATGCTTCTATATAATTCAGCCAGATATCCATTTCCGGCAACGTAAACGCCAACCGAATTTGGTGCTTGAACTTTTGATTGGAATCTCCCATGATATCGAATTGTACTCAATACCCAATATAGACTGTAATCGGCCATCATGTGAATACAAAGCTTGAACGTAGTTAAACACAAAAAGACTGCCGATTTTGTTAACTTAGTCTTTTCATTTTTAATTAGCACGATCGACGTCAGCGGAATATACTTGTTTTTTTCTCTTGGATTTAAGGGCAGCACAGTCTCTTTATCCATACGTGCTCTCTTTAGATCAATCTCTCGCAGATCATTACTCAGATAACGATTGTCAAAGCGTTCGTTAGTTAACCACTTGTATCTATAATGAATTACTCTGAAATAGTAAATTTAATTATAATTATGTAATCGAATGATCTTATACATTTTATATAGAATTACTTGAGTAACAGGAATAATATAAAGAAACTCGTGGCCAAACTCATCCAGTCAAAAACTGTGAGAAATTTATCAGTTCGTGATCTTATTTCCGTTACTATTCCTGTCGTAACATCGTTGAGACTTTTGCTTTGATTACTTTCGAAATGAAAGGAATGAGAAAACTTCACTTTAACGTAAAACATTGCTTTCATGTGTTTCATAAATTTCTTCATCTCTGTTTGGAAGACATACATTATTCAATGAACAAAGTATTCAATCGTCCATAGCAGGGTTTCCCAAATTGTGTTCCGCGGGAAGATAGCAAGTGCTCCGCAAAAAATATTAATAATAAAGCTTTTTTTCTACATTTTGACTATAATAATTTTACGTATGAATAATTCAAGTATTTTTATTTCTCTAAGATTTATTGATCGTCTGTTATTAACTACCCTTCAAATTACAAAAGGTGCTCCGTCAAAATTGAAAAACCCTCAAAGTGCTCCATCGGAAAAAAGTTTGAAAAACCCTGGTCTATAGAAATGGAATGCGTACTTTTTCTTACAGTGCCGACAATAGTATCGGCTATAAAGGAAACCAACATGCAAATGAAATCTAGGGGCTTCACAACGTAACATACTACACTGACGATATATGTCAGGTTGCATATACCACCGAATAAAGGGCCCAAATTGGCCTGGCAATCTGCGACAGCACCGTCGAAAACCTTCTGGCACCTTTCGAAAGGAGTGCCCAATTTCTTGTTGCAAATGTTAACGATACTTCCGAGCCATTGGAAGACAGCCTTAATAATTCGAACTGTGAAAAAGTAGATTAATTTAACATTAAAATTATTAAACAATAAATCAAGATACTAACGGATACTAAGAACAATTCTTTTGATTGCAAGAAGAGACTCTTTTATCTTCTTCACGACAACCTTTATTGTTTTGATAACCTTAGAAATGGCATCGCGTAATGCATAGAAAGGCTGTTTTATTAGGTCAACTATTGCCTTTACTGCATCCTTGAGGTGTTCCTGAATAATATGTAAATAAAAGTTTTGCATTAGTTATTAATTATTAACATATTTCAATTAATATGTATTTTACGTACTTGACCACATGCTAGTGACTCGGACAGCACACCAGTATTATGTAAGGTATTTTTCGCAGGTCCCGTCAAGGCTAAAATGAAGGCATAAGCCATCAAGGCTTGCCGTCCTCGTTTTGAGAAAAATTGTGGCAACAACAAGAATACCACGCACCTGTTTAAACGCAGGTGTTGCAAATTTTTTTACTTATCGAATTCAGGATATTATATTTGTATTTCATGTACAGTATCAGTACCTAACTCGGTGTGAAAATGCGAGTCCGATGGTCAGTATTATTCCAAAAAAAGAGCACAGCATAGTGGCCGAGGATAAGGTGAAGTTTAATTGGAAAACGAAGAACATGAAGAAGATGTACGTCAGGAAGATACCACCTAGAAATCCTAGGATACTCTTTAGAATGAAATTTTCAAAAGTTCCATCCGTTCGTACGAGTACGGACTTCTTGTGGAACCATGAGGTTTCCGGGAAAGACAGCGTCTTGTCTAGCCATTTCTTTATCTTCCTCTTTAATCTATATTGATATAGTTCTGTTTAAGTGAATTTATTTACTAATATCTTTTAAGAAAATCATACAATATCTTTCTATGACGTAATTTTTGACCCAAGGTGTGTCGTGGTTTAGCTCCTCTTGACACTTCTATTGAATTTAATTTCTCATTCATATACCTCACTTTGGCATTATTTAATCTTCTAGCTTTGAGAACCAGTTGAAAGAAAGCCATATTTTCTTTAAATATTTGGACTTACTATAAAGCGTAATGCTAGATAGACTGATATTAATAATCTTATTTTTTATTATATCTAACCAATCAATCCCAAGATTATTGATAATCTTAATATACAATGAATATAGTAATAAGTAATCACAGTCATTTGTCCTATAATAGAGTTTATAGGTTTACGCTCCAATTCAGAGTGCTCATTTACACGAGTATTGGAATTTAGAGAATTATGACAAAATTGTAACGAGGATCTATTAAAAAAAGGGGAAGTAAATATTATAAGATGTTAAAACGAAAAAAATTATAAACAAAATTCAAAGATTCTTTTTACCACTTTTCATACCCAAAGGTTTTCATTCTCGTGAGAAATGTCATTATAATTTACTCAAAATTCAACAGATGGCGATACCTGCAGCATTCCAGAATCGATGTACCGTGATATCGAACACAGTATAGAAGGGGACATTGACCAAACTCCGAAGCTACCGAACCTGTTCGTCCGTGGAAAGAGGTATGTGAGACATATGGATGTTAATAAAAGGTTCTCAGAGATGGCGCCACATAAATTGTTAGAATATTAAAGAGGGACAGACTGAAGTCAAGCTAACGAGTCAAAGCAAGATAAGGTATACGTCAGTAGTTGGACCGAAGGTTGCCGGACGTAGTGGCCGAGGTGGGACCAGGGGCGCACAATCTAAACCGATAGCAAGCCAGCTGTGTGCCAGCTAACGAGTACTAAACTCTATCGCGCGGCCTCGACATTTCAAATTTGACGAAAGACAAAAAAGTAGGAAACTAAGTGACGTGTTCAAGTTTTCATAAAAATGCCGTGACCCGTTTGCGCAAGATATTCGTGATGTTCTTCCCGGAAAAGAATCGGCGGTATTCACCGTAGTCCAGTTACGGATACAAATGTCGTAGTTCAGTGGAACTGTGTCTCGTATACTTTACCTGCTGTGGTGCACCTGATGAACCTTTCTACACAGCCACTATGACAACCAGAGAGCTTTATGTCAAGGTATATATATATATATATATATATATATACATATATATAGTATGTTATAACCCACTTGTATTGAACTTCCTCGACTCATCTCAGCATGGTTAGGATAAGTTTAAAAACGAAAATCAATAACCGACCAGATCTCCTTCATACTAGACGACGATATTAATGTATTTGTCAACAACTGCAACATCTAGTTGTTATTTCCGTTAGATAGTAATTTATTTAAAAATTATATTACTTGAGGTATTAATCTTTAGGTGAGATAGCTGCTTAGGGGATGCAGCAGGTTTAAGAGTTGTTCCCTTTAAGGTTACTTTGGTTCCTTCACCAATGCTCAGAATTTAGTTTGTATTTCAATTGAACGAAAATTGCTTCAGGTTACATCACTGTTGATTAATATATTTTTACCCTTTGGTGTTTATCCAATTTCAAGAATTGTAATGAATTTGCTTATTTTAAAATGTACTTACATGTAACGCACGTTATCTTATAGAGAATCATAATGATGAATGACATAAGAGTTGAAGGTGTTCGATAGGATGCTTGACGATTAGCATTTGATTAAAAAAAAAAAAGGAAGCAACAATACGTGAAAAGGTCAAGTCTCCCTACAACAAAAGCCCGCTTACTTCTGTTTACGTGACTGAAATATTTCAAATGTATTGCATTACAAAAAACTGTAAGGCATCCTAACAGGAAACAGACAAAAATACTGAAATTTAATCAAACAAAAAAATTTTCAGATGAATTATATTGGAATTTTTAGAAATTATTTTCCAACCTTCTGATGACAAAATTATTGCAAATTGCTTGGCAGATCAGTCGTCACTGCTGTCAGCCGACACGAGCATCAGAACCCTTTCTCTTTCCTGGTTGAAAGAAAAAAAAATCTACAACGGGTTCACCGAGAAGACGTAGAGTCCCGCAGATTTTTGCTATTCTACGTCGCTTCTATAGAGTAGAAGTTGGATCCCATAACGGCTTTTGCTCTATCGGTATTTTGTTCATCCTATGTCTCTATTACTATATAGCTCTGCACACTTTAATATATATGTATGTATACATATGTACACGCATATACTCTGAGCAGACACTGATCATTAAAAGTATCCACCTACAATGCCGACCGTTAACTCGAGGCATCCAAAGAGTTCATGACACCTGCCACCTTATTGGAGTCCATAGTTTTGCAGAGAAAATGGAATTTACGGAAGGAATAGAATCTGGGAATATTATTATATATAAAATTGAAGATGAAGAAAAGAACGTAAATGGGAAACTTGACCCCGATAGACTTGACACAGGGCCACCGTGTTTTTCTCGTATAAGTCTCTATACTGGGTAGACCACGATCGATTTTCAACAGCCTATATAAAAGAGTGGAACTAACTCTGGCACCAGCATGGCTTTACACTCCCAAATGGGAGCAACAAATATCATGAAAACTGTCATCGGATAAAGGAATAAATGAACGCATCTATGCGATCTTACTGTATGTGTTATGTTGATATGCACATGAATCATACTCTGAACTGCCTCGTGGTGATAAGATATACGAGTAACACCCTCTCTTTGTCGTGACATCATTCATAAGATACTTGGAACATTGGTTATATATTCTTAATTATAGTGCTAAAATAAAATGTTCCTTATCACGCTTATCTAATCGTTAACTCACTTACAGTACATCAAAGTTTTACCTTGGCACTTGCATTTCTTCTTCGATTAATTAATACCTATTTTTTTCTTGTAATTGATGACATTCTTTATTCTCTATGCTTTCATGAAAGACTTAATATTTTCATCCGAGTATTTATACAGTTTATTGTACATATAAACGTCTAAGAGGTATAAATTGTTATGCGAGGCAATTGTAAAAGGTTACGTTGTATAGATTTACTATAGTATTAGAACATTAGAAATTATGGATGGAATATGACAGAAGCCGTAGATCGTTCGTGGGTTAGTAAAGCTCAGACACAACACAGACGAGAGTTACATCCCGAGAAGTTTATATTTATTTTAACGTTAAATATGGCAGAAAAGACTTGGAATTGGTAAGAAAATTCGTCATACAATGATACTTATGTCTTCAACATTTAAGATTCTCAGTTTTAATTAATGATTCGGCTACTTTTCAATGACTGTGAGAATTGGCTTGCTCCACTTTTTTTTTCCTTCCTTATGGCTCTTGTAGACAGCTTTGATATAGTAATTGCTATTACCAGAGCAGAGTATAGGTAGCTATTGCCGCAGTACCGTGTAGAAAGCTTGGGAACGGCGTCCTAGGAATCTTACGATTAGTAGAAACTGAGAAACAAACTGGGATGAAAGAACATTACAAGAGAAAGGGAGATTATCATTCTGCTTATGATAAACTTCAAGTATAGATAGGATTAACAATGTAGTATCTATCATGAGAAATAATCTGTTATGGTTCTTGTAGCCCTTGATTTTAAAGAATTGATGCGCTCTCTTTGTTATTACATTTATGATTACATAAAAATCCAAGTGGATTTTTTTATTCGAGCGAAAGTCTCTCTTGGATTGCTATGCAAACTACGAATTCACATGGTATAATCCAACATGTAGCGATTGTACATATACCGCAGTACCGGTATGAAGTAAGAACGTGCAGTAATAAATAAATAATAACGTTACGATTCTCGTGCTTCGCTGTTTAATTGTGATTGCGTAAGGTTATATGAACGACATTTTGGTGGTTATCGATAACAATATCTCTTTCAGGAATTCAATAAAAGTTCTTGCTTCACCAATGAATACAAAACTCGACAGTAATATATCTTGTGTTTGATTGATCAAATAATGTGTACCTACTTCCTACCTGTGGTACTTTGACGTAATACGCTTAACGTTGTATTTGTAAATTTGTACCTGTTGCAAAATAATGTTGTAACGCTGAGACGTGACGTTTTTGTAACAAACCACGGTGATAATTAATCGTATGCTGCTGGAAAATATTTATTTGAAAATTATTGCACGCGCGTCCATGAAAGGTGTGCTTTAAAAGGCATAAAAGACATTTTTTTATTAAAGTTGGCAAAAAATGACGGAATTTGGAATTTTATCTTAATCTCTAATTTCGTAAACTATGAACTTGTCATGCCTTATGAGATAAGCTAATAAAGTTCATGGTCGCATTTATTCGCTTTCTGTTTAGTTTAATTGAGCGTACCTATGTCTACTCATCCGTAATACAATGTGTGACTAATTAAATGACGTTTCAGCGGTGGATTTAGGATAGTTTTTTATTTCTACCTTGAGTGGTTATGTGGTTATGGTCTATATGGATTCTTACTGTTCTCACAAGTCATAGAGACCAAATTAATATTTTCTAAATAATCATGACATTAAATGGCAATTAATCATTTAAAAAGTTTCTTCTCTTTCATTATAGAACAATGATCTTGAATTTATATCTATCATATATAGATCTCTCTTTATTTATATCCTTTGTGATTCTTTTTAGTGACTGTTTGTTTTTCTAGTTTACCGTTACCTAACTCTTAAACCCGACCATTCTTTTGATGGAGTTAAAACTCGTCACCAAGGTGCGTCCCATTGTTCGCAGCGAACCTTAACCACGGATACGTGATTCAATGAGTGATAAATTAAAAGATTTACAAAAGTATATTTAACGATTGTGAACCTTGAATTATTCATTACCGAGTTTTGTGCGAATCCATGTTTTTCATATCCCTCTATATTTCCTCAAAGGATAGTGCATACGTTATTCGTTAAAAGAATTGTCTTAGGACTTTTGCGAGTAATGTAAATACTTATAATTTTCTGTTTTTAATTCTATTTACAGGGAGCTAGAGTGTGGGTGTCCCATCCGGATAAAGTCTGGGAAGGTGCTACTATATTAGAAGATTATAAATTGGGACATACTACCATCGACGTTAATACTGAAGACTCGAACTGCAAAAAGACATTGGAAATCAAAACCGATGCTGATCTACCGCCATTAAGAAATCCTGATATTCTCATAGGAGAGAACAATCTCACGTCACTTTCATTCCTTCACGAACCTGCGGTTCTTTATAATCTGCAAATACGTTTTCAACGGCATTGTATTTATACATACTGTGGGATTGTACTTGTAGCATTCAATCCATACAATGAGTTACCAATTTATGGAAATGATACAATTTGGGCATATAGAGGTCAGGCAATGGGTGATCTGGAGCCTCATATATTTGCTGTTGCTGAAGAAGCCTATACAAAATTGGAAAGGTAATTTAGTGTTAGATTATTTAATTGATTCTGTTGTTTAATCAAATTATATGAATTTTCTATCAGGGAAAGACACGACCAATCCATTATTGTTTCTGGAGAATCTGGAGCTGGTAAAACTGTATCAGCCAAATATGCAATGCGATACTTTGCAACAGTTGGTGGCTCTTCGACAGAGACACAAGTGGAAAAGAAGGTTTTGGCTTCGTCACCCATAATGGAGGCCATTGGCAATGCTAAAACAACCAGAAACGATAATTCTTCAAGATTTGGAAAATTTATTGAAATTCAATTTAACAAGAGTTACAATATTACTGGTGCGAGTATGAGAACCTATTTATTGGAAAAATCCAGAGTAGTTTTTCAAGTAAGAATATAATTAAAGCTTTGATATCATCTTTACACTCACCTATAGTTCCTCCTCGTTATAATCCTATTCGCAGGCGAATGAGGAACGAAATTATCATATATTTTATCAAATGTGTGCTGCTGCTGAACAACTTAGTCATCTTTACCTGAGCTTCCAAGACGAATTCCATTATCTAAATCAAGGAAATAATCCTGTCATAGACGGCGTCGACGATTTAGCATTATTCGATGAAACAATCACCGCCTTAACGATGCTTGGTTTCTCGTCAAAGCAGCAGGATGACATGCTGCGTATTTTAGCGGCTATACTTCATATAGGAAATGTAAATATAGTTAGTTGTGAAGCTCCGGATGGTAGCAATAATTCTGATGGCGAAGGCTGCAATATTTCTGTAAGTATTCACCAAATTTATTTAATAATAAACTTTTCTAATTGAATCTGCAATAAAACTTGTGTTCCATACAACTTCCAACAGCCGTCCGATAGGCACCTACTGATAATATCTGAGCTGCTTGGAATAGATGTAAATGCCATGAGAAAATGGTTGTGCCATAGGAAAATTGTTTCAATGAGAGAAGTTTTTTTGAAGCCGATGAGTGTTGAACAAGCGATCGGTGCAAGAGATGCACTTGCAAAACACATCTACGCCGAGGTGTTCAATTGGATCGTAGCTGGAATTAACAACTCTTTGCAATCTCAGAGTAAGTCGCAGTCGTTCATCGGTGTTCTGGATATCTACGGCTTCGAAACATTCGAGGTCAACTCGTTCGAGCAATTTTGCATCAATTATGCGAATGAGAAGTTACAGCAGCAGTTCAATCAACACGTTTTCAAGCTCGAGCAGGAAGAGTATCTCAAAGAGGAGATTGAGTGGACCTTCATAGATTTTTACGACAATCAACCTTGTATCGACCTCATTGAAACCAAATTGGGAATATTGGATCTTCTCGATGAAGAGTGCAGAGTATGAGTCATTTGTTCTCTTAAAAAACATTATAGACTATCCTGATATTATTTTATGAGAGACCTAACTGGTCTTAATTGTCGTTTGTGTTGTTGTATATAGATGCCAAAAGGTTCGGACTCTTCGTGGGCTGAGAAGCTTTACTCAAAATGTGGAAAATCAAAGCACTTTGAAAGGCCACGATTTGGTACTACAGCTTTCCTCATTCATCACTTTGCTGATCTCGTGCAATACGAAACTACTGGTTTTCTTGAGAAAAACCGGGACACTGTTATGGAGGAACAAATTAACGTCATGCGTAATAGTCATGTATGCTGATGATCTAATGCTTTATTTTTGTCATCTCTAAGCAACTAGCACTTAATTCATTGATCTTCTTGTAGAACAAGTTATTGAAAAAGCTGTTCTGCGGCGAAGACCCTAAGCTTACAGTACCAAACGTTCGAGTGAAGATATCAGCACAGAAACCACTGATTAATACACCGAAGCAAAACAAAAAGACGGTAATTACTAACCACACGATTAGCATTATGTAAAACATAGTATTTTCTATGAGAAGAAAAATATTCTCTTACGTATTCGCTTCTTATGAAACAAATTTTGCGTAGGTTGGCTCGCAATTTCGAGATTCTTTAAACATGTTAATGGCTACCCTCAATGCAACCACACCCCACTACGTGCGCTGTATCAAACCTAACGATACCAAGGAGGCTTTCGAATACAATCCAGTCAGAGCCGTACAGCAGCTTCGTGCTTGTGGAGTTTTGGAGACTATTAGAATATCCGCTGCTGGATTTCCAAGTCAAAAAACGTATTCAGATTTCTTTCAGAGATTCAGGTGTCTCTGTAAATTTAAAGAAATTCGTAGAGATGATCTCAAGGAAACCTGTCGACGGATTCTTGCTACTTATATTAAGGATGAAGATAAGTTTAAGTTTGGAAAGACGAAAGTTTTATTCCGGGCGGGACAAGTTGCATACTTGGAAAAACTTCGCGGCGAGAAACAACGAGATGCTTGTATAATGATACAGAAAACAGTTCGTGGTTTAATATGTCGAAATAAATATAAGAAGATACGCAAGACCGTACTGGGTCTTCAAAGACATGCTAGAGGTTATTTAGCCAGACGGAAAGCTCATGCTGTACGTCGGGAACGGGCTGCCATCAAGCTTCAGGCTCGTGTCAGAGGATGGCTAAAGAGACAATGGTTCTTAAGAGTAAAGCGAACTGTTCTGGGTCTTCAAATTTATGGTAGAGGAATGATGGCGCGTAAGAGATATCAATTGATGAAAGACAATGCAGCTGCAACTGCCATTCAGAGATTCGCTAGAGGTTATATTGTGCGAATAACGTGCAAAAAGAAGTTGGAGAATATCATTATTGTTCAATCTTGTGTCCGAAGATTCTTAGCTAAGAAAGTATTCAAAAGGTTAAAGGCTGAAGCTCGTAGCGTAGAACATGTCAAGTCTTTGAACAAAGGCTTGGAGAATAAGATCATATCTTTGCAACACAAGATTAACGAACTGGTAAGTTACATTTTATTCTTTTTAAGCATATAGTTTTTCAATGTTATATTAAGTTTATATTTTTTTAATGTAGGCTAAGGAAAACCAGCACCTCAAGGTCACCCAACATGAGATTCCCGAATTAAAATCAAAATTGGAAGGATTCAAGTCTATGGAGATTGAAAATAAGAAGCTGAATGCACTGTTGATCGAAAAAGAGAAACAACTTGAAAAAATGCAAGAAACTCTTCAACGAGAACGAGATGAGAAAATGGATATGCTCCAGGTCAGTTCTTGTTTGGTAGCAGTCGGCAATCCAGATAAGAATAATTTAATTTTTGTTCTATTTATTTTTAACGAAGGACAAGGAGAGAAATGCTCGACTAAACGAAGAAGAGAGTAAAAAATTGCGCGAGGAAAATGAAAGGTTACAGAAAGAACTGGCTGCAGCTAACGAGAAGCTCAAGACGAATCTACGCGGCGCAGAAGAGAACCTCAAACATAGACTAGAACAGGAGAAAGATCTATTGCTATTGGATCAGGATCAAGATCGTGGTGCTTACCAGAGATTGTTGAAAGATTATCACGATCTCGAACAACATGTCGAAGTTTTGGAGCAAAAACTTGCACTGCAAGTGCCTGGACACTCTCGCTCCCTTAGCAATGCATCCAGCAGTAGTGGGCAGATTGCCTCAACGGAACAACTTCCACAAGATGATCAAAATATTGTAATTATTATTTAAAGGATAATTATATAAGCAATTCAAGGTCGTTCGTAATTAAGGGAAAATTTCCTTTTTTTCTTTCTTCTAGGATTTTGGTTATGGTTCTGTAAGATCTACGGCTTCTTCAACGACTCCGTACTCCAGAGTGGAAACGATAGATTGGGGACAAAAGCGTTCGGATAGTCCACCAGATGGCAATATCCAATCTAATAAATCACCATCCGAATCAAATGGTCCAGCCCATGCTCCTGTGGATGTTGGTCTTGTGTTAAAACTTCAGCAAAAATTAAAAGATGTCCAAAAAGAAAATGGCAGGCTTATCAGAATGGTCGAAGATTTGGAACGTGACAGTCCTGAAGAAGGTTCTAGAACTCAGGATACCTTCAGGGTAAATGTTACTAATTAAACATTTAATTTGTTTGATTAATTCTTGGAATAAGCCTTCTAATGTATCAATTTTGAATCAGCTTCAAGAACTCGAAATGGAAAATGCTAAATTAAAGAAGGACTTAGGTTCTCTCAGGAAAACCGTTTCTGAAGCAGATTCGACAACTGCTCAACAAACTCTCATGGGTACGTACCACTGCTTTGGTAATATTTATTTCAAGCAGATTGATTTTACCAATTTAGATACCATCGAGTAGATTAGATAATATATTATATTGAAACAGTAGTGGAAGCAATCATAAGGAAGGCGTAGATTTGATGGCGTTATACCATTTATCGCCTGAGTGAGCATAACTGCGACCTAATAAATATTGCACTCATAGTTTATGATAGTGTTATTATTAAATGTACACATTTTCACTGGACCTACAAGATAATTTTTAATATGTTATCACTTTTTGTGATTGCTAGGTCAATTCTATGCCCTTCAAGAAGAACTTGAAAGAAGACGCGAGGAGTGTATTCAATTGCACAGTGTTCTGGCGGATCACACGAGAAGAATGAAGAGCCTCGGTTCTAATTACGGACGTGACGTAGACATCATCAACGAAGATGGCGAGTTGGTTCTGGCATTTGAGGCACAGAAAAAGATAAACAGGTAATTATTCTTTGTTTCATACAAATTCAAAAGCATCAATGATGTTTCATTCGAGTCTAATCGTTTCTAATCGTACGTGTTTTGTCATTTGTGCATGCCTTTCGATTTTCAGTAGACTTAAAACAAAACGAAAGTCTTCGATAAGAGAGTGAGTTTATTGGATCCCCTTGATATGCAATCATATTGATGTGATACTTATTAACTATCGCATTAGAATTGCATTACCCACACAGTACAAAATATTCAGATATATTTTAGGAATACTGCTGATATCAATCTGCTTGTTACATTTCGGCGATGTTCCTAAAACGTATCTAAATTTTTTGTATTGTATAGGTATCTAGATCAGAGACCATCTTTCTTATGGGTCTTTTTTCCTTTTTTTTTAAAGACAACTTGAAGACGAACTTCAGACGAAGGAGAAGGGTTGGCGACTACAGAGGGATGAATGGCGCGCTGAAATAGATAGACTTCAGGAAGAGATACAAAGACAACAAAAATTGTTATCTGTCAATTTAAGTAAAGCACCTCAGACTCAGACTGAAGCATACATGCAACATGAGATTACAAGGTTGACGTCCGAGAATTTGGATCTTCAAGAGAAGTTTGATAAGATAGCTGAAGAGTGTAGGAAGTTCAAAAAGCAATGCAAGATTCTAGCGAAACGTCTCAAGGATGCTGGTTGTAAGCATATTTTTGTAATATTATGTTTTGTGTATCTTTCAGGGAATAATAATACTTCCTGTACAATAATTAAATGTAAGTTTTTTGTTTTAACGCTTTCGAAGATGATGGTGATGAAATTCCAAAGGAATATAAGGATCATTCTTACATGATTAAGGGTGCCGGTGAGTGCGCCATCTCGAGAAATCATCCCTCTCATCCTTCCTTTGTTATAATATAATTTTTACAATCAATATCGTACAACCAATTCAAATTTTCAAGATTTAATTAATAATAACCATCTTTTACAGTCCCCGATAGCGTAGAATCTAGTAATGATTCTGCAATTGTCTCCACTACGACTGCACATTCTTCAGCAGAGAGCGGAAGTAACATGCCAGTAGTAAGGAAGAAAGAACGCGACTATGAGGGAATGTTTGAATTTAGAAAGGAGGATATTAAGCTTGTAATACAACACTTGGTTATTGGTACGTTTCTTGACGTTTTTCTCAATTTACACATACAATAATAACAAAGTAAGAGGAATATATATGTATACTGATATTTTATACTTGCAGATCTAAAACCACGAGTCGCAGTAACATTACTGCCTGGCCTTCCAGCATATATACTATTTATGTGCATAAGGCACACTGATTGCATAAATGATGATGATAAAGTCAGAACTTTATTGACAGGTTATTTAAATGCTGTTAAACGTGTCATTAAAAAACGTGAGGATTTCGATTCAGGAGTTTTGTGGCTGAGCAATACACTCAGATTATTGCACAACATGAAACAATACTCGGGCGATAAACCTTTTCAAATAGAAAACACACCAAGGCAGAACGAGCAATGCCTAAGAAATTTCGATTTGAGCGAATATCGCGTAGTTCTTAGCAACGTGGCGCTGTGGATCTTCAATAATATTGTGACAAATTTGAAAGAACGTATACAGGCTCTCACTGTGCCAGCTTTATTAGAGCACGAAGCCATCTCAGGATTAAATTCCAATAAATCAGGACGTCCGCGTTCTTCATCAATGGGTGAGGAACCTGAATCTACTCAGCAGAAACTAAATAAACTTCTTGATGAGTTAAGTTCAGTGCACAAGATTCTACAGTACCATGGAGTCGATCCAGAAATTGTTACACAGTTGTTTAAGCAATTATTCTACTTTATGTGCGCAAGCGCTTTGAATAATTTATTGTTGAGGAATGAGCTTTGTCATTGGACTAAGGGAATGCAAATCAGGTATGGATTATCAATACAATATTAATTACTTTGTCACTGTTAACATCATTTTATAATTCTTATTTATTTTAGGTACAATCTAAGTCATTTAGAACAATGGGCTAGAGATCAACGTTTAGAACCAGCTGCGGAAGCACTTCAGCCAATCATACAAGCTGCGCAGCTTCTTCAGGCTCGTAAAAATGATGAGGACGTACATTCTGTTTGTGATATGTGCAACAAACTTACGCCCAATCAAATAGTAAAAATATTAAATCTATATACACCAGCGGATGACTTTGAAACTCGTGTACCAGTTTCTTTTATTAGAAAAGTCCAAGCTAAGTTGGCTGAACGGGGAGAGAATAATGAACAAGTAAGTGAAAGAAGCGATTATGTACAATTAAAGTTTATGCATATATATATATAAATAACAAAATGTATTTATATCATTTTCTCAGCTTCTAATGGATCTGAAGTATTCGTATCCAGTAAGATTTCCATTCAATCCTTCAAATATTCGACTGGAGGATATTGAAGTGCCAGAAGTACTTCACCTTCCGATGCTCAAGAAGGTCTAAGACATATAATAGAGCCAGGGTACGTGTAGGATCTTAATTTAACATAATTGAATTAATCGAACTTGCTTTGCCTATTTATTGAATGATACAAATACCGGATAAATTATAGTCTATGGTAAAGATTATGCATTCTGTGCGGGTTAATTAATATATTATGTTTTATATATTTTTTTTTACTCAAGTAATTTATATTTTACGAGACATCGATCTGTACTTAAATGGAAATAATTAGGTAAAATCATTTGCGCCATCTTTATCAACGACTTTCAGATGCAGCATAAATATTATAATAATTACCCTCCGTGAGTTGAAGGAAGATAATATTTGATTGTCTATTATTAGTGTAAAGACAGATGGGAAATCAAAAGATTTTCGAAATTTCGTAAGTTTAGTCCGTAGTAAAAAAAAATTAGTATAACTAAAACTCATTGGCGAATTTATTGTATATGTGAGATGTATGTACGTAGGTGTCATGGCCGATGAAAATGTCGCGTATACAAATTTGTAGAAATATTGTAGGATATATTTGTTGCAATAGTGTATTATAATTTCGTTTTTAATTGTAGTTTGTGTTAATTTTGCGGCTAATTTTTAATCAATTTTCATCGTTTCCGGTGACGTTTTATGATATCGCCAATCATTATATGTAGAAACGCCGGGTACAGAAAGCATAGACGGAAATCCATTTATAATGTAATAAAATGTAAAAAAGGAAAGCGAGCAAGAGATATATATTGCGTTGGAATAGATTGTATATTTTTTGATACGAGATTGAACTGTGGGGATATTTGTCGATTATGTAATTGGTCTGGGGATGAAACGAGCGATGTAAATGGGCGAGAGAGGTACATACATATAGATATATATATACATACTGTTATTACTTACTATAATCTAAACGTACCAATTGCGTTTTGTGCCATCTTACGAGTAGATCAATGTCGGAATGTAATTAAATCGGTCGAACTGTGCACACGACTTTGTCTTTTAAGAGACTGGGGATTACGAACAGTAATCCAGGCCCAGATAGCACAGCATGATCGAAAAAAAATGCTGGTAGCAAAAATTTCGACATTTTTTTCGCATATTTGTCTAAACGTTTGCACAGTGCTGCTGCGTGTGGACACATCTCAGATAACAGTGTCTACAAACTTCTTAGCAACTTTAAACATGCTTATCAGCAAACTTGCGAGAAGGTGCGCCCGTATTTCTCTGTTAAATTGCTTTCAAGTCGATGCAACATGTAACTGTTAATAATGTTGCAAACAGCAGGAAAGTATTGCCGATCGGCGATACTGTAAACGTTTGAGGAACAGCAATAATTGTTCATCCTTTGTCGGCAATGTATCAGAAATGCGTTTCCTATCACGTTGCTCAGTAACTCATGCTTATATGTGGCATGCCGTTTGGATAGTATAACAGCATTATTTAGAAAACTGCTGAAATCGTTTTTTTTCGATTATGCTTTGCTATCTAAGCAATGATCTAAAGATTATAAGACCGTAAATAGCAGGATTTTTAAAGAGATATTTCCTGGAAATGTAGTTGAGGCTCCGAGAAGATATTAATAAAGAGGGCCAGCCTTGTGGAATTTTTGTCTGATGGTTGATACGCACGGGAGATACGCCGGAACCAACATAGAAATTCGGGAAGGGAGGCATTGAAATTTCATACATTTTGTTTAATTATCCCCCCCTTTTTATCAATTGTTTCTCGGTGTTTGAAGGCACATACGGCAGGATTAACAATCATTTTGATACTGCTTTTTAAAAAAAAAAAAACAGATTCGAGAATTCGGATGTTGAATTTGACACGGTGAACAACTTTCGGTCGGATGTTTTCTTCAATTTTTAATTATTTTAACATCAGTGATGTTAAAATGAATTGTAATTTTGCAGAATGTGTCGTTCACTTCGCTCAAGCAAAAATCTTTGTTACAACTATAATATTTACGAGGTTCAGTTATGTTTTACTAGCTTGGCAATCCAAGGTTCCCTGTCTTCTTAATTAATCGCATTTCGAACATAAAAAACAAAAAATGTAGAAGTCATTCGCATGAAATGTAATAGATCAGATCAGTAACACTCTATTTCCATTCTTATCAGGCGACTTGATGTGACAAATTTATTTGTTTCTAAAGATATAAATAAACTATCGTTGATGAAATTCCGAACCCCAATTTACATTGTACATAACAATTTTTTAAACAGATGGTCAGAAATGGAAATGGTATTTGTTGATGGACGATATAAAAAAAATGAATATAGTATTATTACAATTGCTTTTATTGTATATAAATTAACGCTACAATGGTGAAGAACGTGTGGCTAAGGAGCACGTGACGTAAAAGTGAAGTGTCTCGTGTTTATAATCAAAATTATAAATGCAAGTGAAGCAAATGTTAGAGCGAAACGACAGCTTATAATATAATTACCGTCTTGTAAAAGAACAATTTATTAATGAAGCTTAATTGCGTAAGAGCCGATTATTATGCAGTATCGCTCGGTGATCGTATGTCATCAATCTTTAAAATCATTTTTACCAGTTGAGTAGCCAACAGGATTTGTTGTTTCTTACTCTTCAATGATTCAATGACATTTTGCGTCTTCATGTCTACAACAAACAATTACTTAATGAGTTTCTGGCTATATATTCTTACAGATATCGAATTCAATAACAAATTTACTACGTACCCGCTGTACCGTTATTCATGCAGTCAATACCCAGGGCGGGATTGTTCTCTGCAAGTTGACGTGCCTTGGCTTCTGCTAAGCTGTCCACCGGAGATAAGCCAGCATTCTCTGCAAGAGCCATCGGAATAGCTTCTAGCGCGTCAGAGAAGGCACGGAATGCGTACTGCTCAAGAGAGCTAACTTTGTCTGCGTGTGCAGCACAAGCCAATGCACAAGATATTTCAGCAGCACCACCTCCGTAGACGATTCTTTCGTCGGTGACCAGATTGCGAACAACGCACAGTGCATCGTGCAATGAACGTTTAGCTTCCTCGATGATCTATTTTTTTTTAAATTGAAGAGAGCATATAATAATCTGTTCCTTTGTTAGGAATTTTTTCGGAGTAGGCCAGTTTTTAATAATATTGTTGTACTGATTCTGTTTATGTTCAATCAATTAATTAGGATTAGAACTGTAGTGTACAGATTGTACTGTATTGATTTAGCAAGGTGTCTGGACAGTTGGATGCATTGATAAAGACATCACTGAAATTCTCCTTGCAGAAATAGAATTTAAAATAGAAATGATAGAAAGTAATTGGAGTAATTAAGGGGTGTACCATTTTGTTTCCACCGCGGATAAAGATGGTGACTGCACGGGAATTCTTACACTCCTCGATAACTAGCATCCGGTCTTTAGTAGTGCCGAATGTCAACTCCCTGACCACTCCAGCATAGCCGAGTTTGTCTGGAGTTAATTCCTCAAAACGTGGTACAATTCTACCACCAGTAGCAATGGCAATTAGCTAAATAAACAATTTACCATTGTCAGGATTCTTATCGATAAGAAATTAATGTATTTTTTTACAATTAATATATACCCTCAGCTCTCATAATCTTTGATCATTGGAACCACTGCAAGGAAGGGATATCAAGAACGATCAATTTCCCAAAGTCTATTATTCCTTCATAAATCGATTAAACATCAACTTCCGATTGAATTACAAAACTGGAAGAAATTGATCGAGTCGATTTTCCTAATCCTTACCTTCCTCTGTTGCGCTTTGTCATCATAGGGTAGAAAATTATCATTTGAGGAATTATATCAAGTTAATAATTACTTCGATTTCCGGGCCTCCGACCCACCTAACGGCGGGCAATTGTTTTTGCAGTAGAAGATGATTTGCCTCGTCGTCAAAACCCCATTGACAAATTGCTAGGGTAGCACCTGCGTCTTTCACTTTCGTTACCATATTAATAAATGTCTCGCGCTCGTATTCACGAAGTGCCTTATAATCTTCTACGGAAGTGACATCAAGCTTATGCTTGGTCTTTGGCTTTGGTGGCTCAAAGGGACAAGTCAGAATAGCAAGTTTGACATTTTCTAATCGCTGTAAAAAAATCAGAATATTGTTAAGTAATAAAATAGTAAAATTATAGTGTTGGTGGTTCGATAATAAAAATTGTGTACACAATGCTCTTATAAGGAAACCCCCCCAACCCGACCCCACCAATTTCAATAATTTTTTGATATGTTGTAGTACTCGACAAAATAAGAGACACGTATTTTTTTTTTGTGCTGACATCCACTTTAAAGGGGTGAAAACGACCCCTGAAATTCACCCCCGAAAATCGTTTTTTTATCATATCTCGACTTCTAATTAATATTTTTTAATAAAACCAAGTGGCAAATATTTGTCATAAGAAGTCGAAGATATGAGGTGTGTTTATGACCCAATTCTTTATTTTTTTGAGCCCATACCCCGATTTTTATGCAGAAAAAAGCATAAAAAATATAGTTTTTTCAAAATATAAAATAAGGGTTGCAACCCCTTGGGTCATAAACACACCTCGTATCTTCGACTTCTTATGACAAATATTTTCCACTTGGTTTTATTAAAAAATATCAATTAGAAGTCGAGATATGATGAAAAAACGATTTTCGGAGGTGAAATTCAAGGGTCGTTTTCACCCCTTTAAAGTGGATGTCAGCACAAAAAAAAATACGTGTCTCTTATTTTGTCGAGTACTACAACATATCAAAAAACTATTGAAATCGGTGGGGTCGGGTTGGGGGGGGGGGTTTCCTTATTAGACATTTACTACTGTATAAGTGTCTTAATAAAGATCATTGACAGATTAATCTAGCAAGGTGTCTGGTAAGTAAGAGGCATTAGAAGCAACACTGAAATTCTCCTTGCGATTTCTGTGTCTGAATATAACATGAAAAAATATGAAATCTTGTTATTTACCTTAGGCATTTGAGGATGACTGAAGTCTTTATCAACTACAACACCCCGAACAAGCATGGTATCTTCTAGGCGACCCCCGACCTTTCCTTCTACTTTGATCAGTTCAAAATTAACGTCCCGCTTTTCCAGATCAGCGACTGCTAATACAGCATTTACAGCAATTTCAGCCATCTGCCTATGACACTTGTTTATGCTGAAAATAAAATCAAACGCGTTTAGTTCTCGATATTCATATAATTATTATTAGTTGAAACTTAATTAGATTTCAAAGAAGTACTTCTTACATCTTGGATCCAAGAGTTGTCATAGCAATCTTAATCAAAGGCTCTAAGTCGTTAGGATTTACTGGAAAACCTTCTGCTATACTATCAAGCTGCTTCGAAGCACACTGTGCAGCCAACTCAAAACCATCTGCTATCCTAATTGGATGAATGCCTTTATCCAATAATTGTTCCGCTTGCTCCATTAGAGCACCAGCTAACACTACAACGCCCGTAGTGCCATCCCCAATTTCATCATCCTGTGATTGTGAAAGCTGTACCATCAACTTAGCAATTTCATGATCAACATCCATGTTTTTCAAAATTGTTGCTCCATCATTGGTAACAGTTATATCGCCATCAGAGCTGACCATTAATTTATCCAAACCTTTTGGACCCAGTGATGTTCTGAGGATGTTGGCAATGCTGCGCGCTGCTAAAATGTGAGACTATAAAAAAACACTGAGTTAAATTTATTTTAATAAATAATTACTTATACAAAATTATATTGCATATATTCCTTTTATTCTATATAAAGAGTAAAATAAAAATTCTAATTTTTAAATGAATACGTTGCTGGCTATAAAGGAACGTACATCTCGAGATGAACAAACAGACACCACATTCCTTTTATGGTCAGAACATGAAATACTTGTGTCTCAATCGGTATGCGACCACGCGTGGGTGATTTTAGAAATTCTTTTGCACGAAAACATTTAAATATCCGAAAATAGACCTATAACTAATTGCTCATTAATATAAGAAACTAATATTAAACTAATTTATTTTTACGAATTATGGTCAAATTTTCAAGATTTCAACGGGCATTGTGTCGTGAAAGCCGCCATCATATGACCACACGTGTTTTAATGAAATACAAAAAAAAATATATATTTCATTACTAATTCTAACATTTATAAATTTATCAGAATATATTAAGAATAAAATTTTTGTTTTGCAAAGTATGTCCTACATATGTGTAGTATGCACACAAATTTAATATGTTCGTTCTATAACGTTCAAGAAGCCTCACCTTAATCGCATCATTGCCGGTAAGTCTTTTCTGTTTTTCTTGATCTCGTAGAATAATAAAAGGACGACCGTACTCGTCGAACGCAATAGATCCCGGAAAAGCAGCCATTGCCCTTCTTAGTTAGACAAATTATTTAATAAAGATCAACAAGAGTAGACACAAGTTCACGTACAAAATTCTAAGATACTTATGGACGTGCAGCCATGTTGATCACGATTTCAGTAGACGGAATGGAAAGCATTTGTCATGAAGAATAGCGAAAGTGTCGCCATCTGTTCTCGACCATTCTAAATGGTATGAACGTAGCCACTAAAGTACTGAAACTCTTTCCAATGACTACATTTACACGACGGTCTTAAACCGATTTAGTTAATACAGATTTAAACGAATTGACCAATCTCAAATATTCGTTACAAGTAAAAATTCCTATGATTAGTCTATTCTTTTAAATCAGTATTAACTAACCGGTTTAAGCCCGTCTTGTAAACGTATATGTATACATTGACTACGTGTGTATTCGTCTTCAGTTCAGTGGGCGGTGGCAGTAGCTCTTCTTTTCTAATGCTCCCATTGGCTACGTTTTCTATGTTCTCATACTACGGCTGCTGATTAGAATGAGACAGGGCTTGGCCGCCACCAGCCGCTATCTCTTTGTTTCAGCCGACCATATTTTGCTATGCTTGTGCGTAGTCCATGCTATATGTCAATGGTTACACGTGACTGGTTCATCCTATTTAAATCCTGCATGATGAAATCATTGTCATTAATAATAAAAAAAAAAATGTTAACATCCTTCTGACTCATTCAGACCCAAAGACAGTGGGCATCCGAGCAGCAGGCAGCGAATAGCGAACAAAATGCTTTGGATCTAAGATTATTCCTCTAATATAAAAAATGATTAAAAGAAACCCTAAATACAATTAATTTCAAATATCAAAACAATTCAATATCGTGGTCTTTCCTAACGGAAATATACCGATATTTCGATTAGTTGAAATTCGATAATACATTTTATATTCTAATATGATGTATTTAATTATCAAAATAATATAACACCACTGAGAAGAGGTAAAGAGCCCCTGTGTATTCTGTACCTGAAACGTAATATATTGTGTATCAACCACCTTTAAAATTTTATACTAAATATAGACTATGTTAGTAAATACTTCCAAAAGAGGCATATAGAAGATCAAAGGAAGAAGAATAATAATTTTATACTGGTTCTAGGGAATATCTACCATGCTCATTGAATCCAGTACTTGTCAGACACAAAGTTTCATAAGCCAGGTCCTCTTTACTAGTTCTCCTTGGTATGTACACAGAGTTCACATAGCACAAACATCCAAAACATGTTCTCGGACATTTTACGGATGTTCCTCGGACATCTTCTCCTATCTGTGACGATATAAATATAATAATTCCTTTGCTACGTGCGAGTATTTATTCCACATTGAGTTATTATTCATGTACTTTTCGACATTACAATCGTGAACATTACACATATATACTGGAATGAATTATTCGATAGAGGTACTTTTGACTCAAAGCCTAATGGCTTGACTTCCTACGTATATAGTCCATAATGAATCGTACGTATGTGCAGATGCACCCTGTATACTATCTATCACCTCGAGTACTTAATTATTAATTAAGTATCACATATAACATTCTTAGTAACAATAATTCCCATTATATTTCCCATATATTTTGGAATGATCTTACGCATCAAGTATTGTTACACTATTGTATGCAGATCAACGTGTCTTCATCTTCGTCTAAAATGTGTAGAAGATATAAAAATTACAATAAAATAAACTAGACAAAATTATCGTTTCACGAGATGATCAATAGGTGGCGGCACCACGTATAAATATAAGACAAACATAAGAAGGTTCCATCCGACCTAAATAGGCCAAGTCTTATGAAATTCGAATCACAAATTAAATATTAATTAATACATACGTACGATTGATTTTAGATTGGAAGCTTATATATAATGTATGTGTATATATATATATATATACACCTCGAGAAAATATATGAATATTATGGAAATATATAGCTTAAGTATACATATGGATCGAAGATAAAAATATAATTTCAATAGAACATCTCATAGTAACATTCAATATGTCGAGTTTTTCTTTTTCCTTTTTTATATTTTTTTTTGTATACTTCCTTCTTTAACGCTTTAGGCATTCGCGTGATATGTTTAACTTTCCCTTATCGAGTTTAGTTTTAATATAGGAAACATCAAGATTTTTGATATACGATCAACACGCAGAGGTTGCACGGCTGCGATCGGAACTTCTGTGTGTCTAGGAATTTTTGTTTTCTCTAGTGATTAGTATAATTTTTTTTAACTTTTCACCAAATAGTTGTACACGCGTCTATACTAATTATTATTTTTAATAACTTTAGTATCCATATTCCCCTCGCGAGGGCTGTTAATGGACGCGGTTTTTTTATTTTGATATAAAGTATATTAAATTCCGAATTCAAGAAGATAAAATATAACTAGTCCGCAGTCTCTATACATCAGAGATACGAACACTAGGTCTCTTTGTGCTCTCATTTTTTTTCCGTGCATCCTCCATTTTGCGATACTTGCTTTGTGCATATAGCTTCACAATAAATTTACTTAATTATCGACAATTTCCTAGAGAGTAACGATGTCACTCTGATATGTGTTGTATTATTCAGTCGCAACAATGAAAAAATGGAAGCCGTGTCGCGTTTCGCATTTTTATCCGTTTTTAGGGCATTTCTTCCTTTTTCATATTTTCTCCCCTTCATTTTTATATATTCTTTACCTAGCGCATAATTTATCTTTACCGCATTCCACGCGCGCCACGGACGGAAGGTAAAGCTTTAAACGTGATTAAGAAAACGTAATCGACGTACATATCTAAGTTCACGACAACTAAGTAGACATTTTCTCCTTTTATGTCGATGCAGTAATAGTAGTCGACCTCGATCGGATTCCATAAAATTGAATTACTTTAGGCAAAGGTTGCTCGCTTAAAGATGCGATTTCCTTGATTGGTAATTCGCTTCTCACCGGATGTGTACTGTATGATTGATTTTATCTGATCTGTAGCAACGGGACCAATGCAGACCAGAGGATCCTTGAAGTAAGAACAGACCTGTGTGAGAAAAAATATTAATTACTTCAATTAATATTAAAATTAGATAATTATTAAGTAAATTACTTTCATACAATTTTTCATTGTATACTACTAATTTCAAAAATATATATAGATATACATACTTTTCGTGGCACTTGTCGATGACGTCTCTGAAGTTGGCAGCACAATCCCCGACCGATGTCACATTCGCCAGACATGGTGCATTCTTCACCTGCACATTATCAGTTAGTTAATGCCCATTGAATGTTATGTATACGGATAGTCACTTTTATATTTCTTATAGTCTATCCTTACTGTATTGCTTATTAGATGTTACAGGTGGTTGACAAGAGCGTGATTCTCCGCCAGCGACGTCGGCACACATAAGACCAGTTTCACAGTCATTATCTCTTCTGCACAGTTCGCCCTGTTTCAGTCCGTAGGGAAAGATGCAAGTACCAACCACTGAGAAAAATAAATAAATAAAGAAAGATATGTATTTCGATGCAGTAATAGTACATTTTGTACCAATATAAAGTTACCTCCATCGACGTTAACGCATACAGAACCTGGACAGCAGTGTTCATTGATTACACATCGTCTACCGTAGCAAGGTTCCTCTGTTTCTTCTTCCGCAGCCTTTCCATAGGCACTTTCATAGCCTCCGGATAATTGTCGCTAAATTACAAAAATTAAATTATTAATACAATACAATAGTGTGGTACTAATTTTTAATTATGTAATAAAATTACCTGTAAATATGGTGACCTGCTCAAGTATCCTCCGTGACTCCCATAACCAAGATTAGAAAGCATTTCAGGGCTAAAGCGATTAAATAGACCACCCCATGCATCAGCTTCATATATAATGCTGAAAAAAGCTACGAGTACTAACATCGTACCGAAATTTATCTTCGCCATCTTGAAAAAGTGTTCTTTTTTTACTGTTAACAGGCTCCTGGAAAGTATTCAGAGAGAAATATAAATGTTATTTTATTTGAACTATTTTCCAGACAATCTTTTCCACACTTACAATACCGTTCACGCCCAAGATGACTTTTATGCCTTATCAGATGTTATCTAAACGCCGTTTGCCGATGGACAATGAGTCAGAAAATCCTGCAGACTCGAAAAGTCAACTCTAAATTTGATTCAGCAATGCTCAGGAAGTTATTAAGCCTTCTATGGGGTTTAGAAGAGGACTGAGTGCCAGAGGGACCTTCTTCACCGATCTATACTCCTACGCTATTCCGACTCCCACTGTGCAAGCTTTTTGTTGCACGCATGCGTCAGATTTTTCGCTTTCCGGAGGAAGTTAAATTATTAGCTTCTCTCTCCCTTTCTTTCTCTCCCCCTGATTCGCACCTTTTTGATCTTTTCGAGGTACCTCAAATATGCAATCTTACTTAAAAAAATAATGGGCGTTTCCGTTAGCTTTCCAATGATAAAAAAAAGTGCAACAACAAATAATTCATTACTCGAAAAACAATATATTGTGAGTCAAATAAAACAAAAAATGTTCTATATTGCTTTAAGCACATGAAATAATAAAAAAGCTTTATTTAAGATGTAATTTCAGTGTCGGATGAAACTCTCGCTTCTCTTCTCTATCCTCGTCCCTTTATTTTATCCAACTCTCTCTTGCTCGTATTGATCCAAAGTGGCTCGCGTTCCTATTGGCTGGCAAACGAAAGGTTTCACCATACATGTGTATGTACATATATATTATACATATGTCTACGCGGCGATATTGCATATTGTTTTAACTATATGGTATAACTTATGTACGACGCCAACACCCCATATATGTTATAACCACCTGTCTATCTAAATACCAAAGTACGCTTTAAATACATAATCCACCTGAACGCACATGAATGCGTGATTTACTTACGTCAGGCAGTACATACGTGGGTTCGACCAACCCACGTATGAGGGGATGAGGCTGTGTAAAGGGTCAAGGGTGATTCAATATCGGATCAAGGGAATCAAGCCCATTTTTTAACAAGGAAATATAAGGAACATAAAACCAGTCTAACTATACTCGTATAAAAATATGTTTAATAAATAATGGCTAAAAAAGAAAAATAAATAAGGCGCTATATATATATATAATATCTATAGAGACGTATGCACTTCATAGGTATATACACGTGTCATAAGGTCATTTATGATAGCGACCTTAGTTAGGTCGTACCCTAAGTGCACTCATAAATGGAATTGTTCCTTGATATCGTTTTTATCAAAAAAACGGCATTGTGGTTCGTAATAAATTAGTCTTCTTTTGTACATTTATACAGGAGAGGCTGTATCAACCCTTCATTGAGTTATCAAGGGAATCACCTCTCATTCATCAGACTCCAGTGATGCTATGGAGCCATGGCTTGAAGAAAGTGGTCTTCATGTAGACACCAGGTAAGTATGGTGCTGCGCATTTTATTCCATGAGAAACGGTACCCACGAGAACCCATCTACCATCAGGACGTTCCATCACCAGTGGCCCGCCGCTATCGCCCTTTATGAAAAATAAAAACGATAATGGATGAGTAAGGTCTGGAACTCTGGTCGTAAAGGGAAACTGTCTCTTAGAGAGCCCTATTCAGTATCCGCAGTTATTCTTATAGTGCTACTTAAATAGACGATGATACAACAGTAGAAAGTAATACGAGACCTCACAAGAGTCCTTTTGACCATTGGCGTATCCTGCGCACAGGAAACTGTCTAGAATACGCTTCGGATGTTCAGCGATCTGGAACATTTCCTGACAGACCGAATTCTCCATTATCGGTACTTGGACCTCTTGAAGAACCGATGGTACAGCACCCTCTTAAAATAAAAATTATGATTATTATTTATTTTTATAGTCAAATCTATACGGTGGAAGGCATTTTAGGAATTTTTTAGACATTCACTTACTGTATTTCAAACGTCCCCAGCCTGTTACTGTTGCCATCCTTCCAGTGAAATCTGCATTGTCATCTGGCATACAAATTGGCACAATGTGCGTGTCGAATTGAATTGGAGTTTCCAATTCCAAAAGTGCCAGGTCGTTCTCGAATGTTGCCGGATCGTAACCCCTGTTAACTATAACCCGGCGTACATTACGGGAAACGCTACGTTTCGGTTCTAACTCGCCGGATATGTCGAACTCGCCGAAAACAGCAACCAGAGAGGCTAAAAATCTGAAAAAAAAAAACATGTTATCTACCATATAAAATTATCTGTGTGACAATTAAAGAAATAAATAATAACATCTGATAATGCTTACCCAGGCTGACAATGCGCTGCAGTAACGACATATTTATTAGTGATAAGAACACCGCCACATTTATTTTTCGTGAAGAGTCCAAGCCATGTAGCCTCGCGTACTAATACCTGCCAAGGCCATTCGCCGAAACTAGCACGTTTCCCACCAACGATCCTTCCAGACTTGAATTGCGGTCTTATACCACATTCTGAAGAAAATCAAAAAACATCAAGTCCTTCTTCTTCGCCATCTACGCCAGTTATCACGAAGATAGACTATCTTCACCCACCTTTTTTAAAATCCGATGTAAAAGTAGCTTTCTCAGTTGTGGTAGAAAGGATGACGGAGGTCGAAGGTACTTCCTCTTCTTCGGTATCTTCAATCACAGCTACAGTGGGAACTGTAGGTTTCCTTGTAGGTTTTGTTCTCCTGGTAGTAGTCTGAGGTCTTTTCGTAGTTACAGTATGTGGTGTAGTTGGTCTAGGTCTCGTGGTTGTAGGTTTTCCTGGACGTACTGGTCTATCACCAGAAACAGGTCTGACCGTGGTACTAGAGAGTCGGGTCGGTGGTCTCCTGGTGGTTACTGGTCTCTTGGTAGTGACCTGAGAGGGTTTACTTGTTTGAGTTGGTCTCCGAACTGGTTTCCTGGTTGTACTAACAGCAGGACTGCTGGTTGTAGGCCTCCTCGTGACTGTCGGCGCGCTTATTGGGGCTAAGGAAGTATTTCTCTTGTTGTACACGACATCCTTGAGGTCGTCGAAGTTTTCTTGAAGAGACTCGACGATCTTATTGACAAATACGTCTACTTTGTTGGTCAAGACATCGTCCTCAATGAATGCCGGTGTCGGTATTTCGTTCTCGCTTACTAATTCGATGTCAGGATAACCAGTATTATTAAAAGTCTCCACCAGGGTAGGTTTTTCTTGCTGAGATGCCGATACTGAGAAATTGAGATTGGGATTCCTTACTGGTGGGAAATTTATAAGATCATTAGGTGCTGCTGTCTCTTCCTCACACGGAGATGGACTGGTCATGGTAATGATGTTATCGACTGCTAAAGGATCCTTTAAGATGATTGTGTTATCCGAGTTTATGTTATCTTGAGGCCAATTGAAATTTGGATTCGATGGTTTCAGGTGAAAACTGGGCTTCCCCGACCAACTTGATAAAGTTGTCCACATGGTTGTTGGTCTTTTGGTAACACTGTTAGGATTCTTTGTAGTTACTAACTCGTAGTCTGTATCATCATTAGTTATTATAGCTCCTGGAGTGACTTGACTCTGCGATACTGAGGGCTTACTACTAGTACTGTCCTTTAGGTTGACACTGATGTAACTAGTAGATACTACATGATTGTCATTACTTGCTGTATTACTTGTAGAGATAAATGTACTAATATTATGAGTTATCGTTGTGGAGCCACTAGGTTTCTTTGTAACTCCAGGTTTGGTTGACCCAACAGGTCGTCTTGTTGATGTTTTTTGGGTCGTTGCTGTTGTAAATTCAGTTCCCAATGGTCCAAGTACTATAACGGTTGGTGCTGGTGGATTGGTAGACGGTCTGGTTGAGTATGATAAACTACTAGTGTCAAAAGTACCTTGAGTACCCGATGGTCTAGAGGAATATGTGTTTGGGAACAGGACTTGAGGATTACTTGAACTTCCAGTAGCTTCGGTAGGCACAGTTTCATAATTATAATAAGTCGCCTGTCCTGGCTTATAGAAAGTGTATGGAAATTCAGTAGTTGTTGTTGATGGTCTGGTAGACGGTCTAGTGGAAGGTCTACCTGAAGGCTTTAATGAGGACAGTTTAATGATAGAAGGTTTAGAAGTTTCATCAACACTTATCCAAGTGTGAATAGGACTGTTGTTCTGAGATATAACTTGAGCATCAGAGATAGAAGTAGTATCATTCAAAATAGATATTATGTGATTAATTGAAATTTCTTCATGATCTAATACATCATCCTTCTTATTTCCAGACTGCGCATCATATGTAATAGTAGGTACTCTAATCAACTCTTCCTTTTTATCAACGGTAGTAGACATAGGCGTAGTAGATTCTGTCCTGAGTGTTGAAGAGCCAGAACTAACTCTTAAGTTTCCTGTACTTGCTGTGAAGACCGGTTTCGTAGTAACAGAAGTTTTCTGATTGGAAGTAATTGCCATTGAACTCGTGGACTTCTGAGTAATTGCCGACGGCTTCTCGGTGCTCGAGATCTTTTGAGTGACACTAGGTAACCAGGTACTAGCTGTGATTTTGTGAGTGGGAGCTTGATTTTTCTCTCCAGTAGTTCCTTGAGTCATTGATGAATTGGAGATTGTCTGCGAGGAACCATTTTGATTTTGAATTGGTTTCTTCTCATGGGTACCAGCACTCCCGTCGATATTAGGTTTAAAAAGTTCATCAGGATTATGAGTCTCATTAAGAGTGGCACCATATTCATTGAGAAGAATAGTATCCGCCATGCTATGATTATTATGACTCAAACCCTGAGAGAAAAGTGCAGGAAGTTGATCAACAGGGTCAGCAATCTGTAAAACTTGATCTGGACTGAGAAGAGTAGTGACTGGATTAATTGCTGAAGTGTCTTGATGGTCTTGAATATCATTATTAGAGTCCGAGTGGGTTAATAATCCTGGAAGCCTAAGATCATCTAGGATTCCTTGCTGATCTAAGAGTACTGGGAAATCCTGTTCCAAATGGCTGAAGTCAACTTGAGATGGAACCTGCGGCTTTGCTGCATTTTCATCGGTATCCGTGTAATGACCAGGATGGTGAGGTGGCACAATAGTTGAAGATGAGGTCCTGGTATTCGAAACTGTCTTAGTACCACTAGTAGAACCGGAAGTATCCATTCCAACAGGTGTTCCATCGGGATTCAATAAAATCGGTATGTCTGGTACATGATCGATCTCATGAAGATTCAACAAATCTTCCGTGCTTGCTTCTTTGTCCATCGTCTCTTCATTAGCTTGTTTAATTGGCAATTGACAACAAGCACCAAATAAAAATCCATCCATACAAGCACCAACTACTTCACCGTTGCGTCTGGAGCACTCATAATTGAACATACATACAGCTGGTTGGTCCGACTTGATCGTCGAAGGGTTTGTAGGTTGGCACACCTTAGGAACTATCCGGTATCCACCAAAGAGTTTCCTACCTATAACATAACATAACAGTGGCTCCATAAAAATCCATGACATTTACCTTGATATTATACATGAAAGCGCATGCATGAATGATCAACAATATATCCCAACAAGATCACCGAACACGGAAGTTACCAACGGTCATTTTCTACAGGACATTTAATTTCTTTTCGTACACTTTATAATACAAAAGGTTCGTTTAAAAAAATTCTCACACGCCACCAACAAACTTGATATTGAATTTGAAAAGGAATCGTATTTCGTATTCAGGTTGGAAGCGGAAAGTCTCATGTATTCCCTGTCTCCTCAAAGCCTTATGAGACGGATGGCTCATTGTTATTCAATTCGCGGATCGATGAATTACGATCAAGAGAAACCTGTCCTCTGTCTGGGGCAGTCGACGCGGTCGGCGGCTATGCCATGTGTCGGCAGTGAGGCAGTCGCCAGGAAAACGAGATTCTCTGGGCTGGGAAAGATTTTTCATTGCAGTTCAACCGGCAATGAGGCAACGAATAAAAAACTCAATCCGTTAAATGTGGAACTAGTTTCAAAACACGCGCATCAGTCAGTTGTATGTCATATTCTTGTACATGTACACATATATATGTATAGATTCTATTTGGGGTTAGGCTCCATAGAGTGGGACTCGTTCATTTAAGCTAACAATGTTATTTGTAAAGAAAACTAAACCTTAGGAATTCTAGCACTGGAGTTCTAGCCTACCTTAACTCAATGTAGCCATTGCCAAGCCCACCATAGATCCAAGTTTCTAATATTGAAATTTCTTTTTCGAAAATTTAGTATGAAAGACTTCTTTATGACACCAGAAACATTTCTTACACCAGGAGTTTTTTCAGGCCCGTCCTGGTAAGTATCAATGCGTATCACAAAATTTTTTTAAGAACTCGTCTTTATTTATACCTATATATTTGAAGATGCGGTATTCAGAAGTATTACATTGATTAAAGTTTGATCTTATTTCTGCTACAAAACCCCCGCACGTAACGCAATACTCCTAAATCGTCCTGTATAATACATATAGATGTTACTTCGTATGTATACTGATCATCTCGTGATTATAAAGATACCATTCACATCGATTTTTCCAAAATTTCTCCAACGTCAGGTACTCGGAACAGTGAAAGGTTGCTTTAGTCTTTTACATCCTTCTTTGTGTTTGGAAGTCCAAGGCCTGATTTTATTTTTTTTAAACTTTATGGTATTTTTTTACTAAAGTTATCAATTTTTGTATATACATATATATATATATATATACTATATATATATATATACTATATATATATATATATATACTCCTACAAGCACGTAGATTTTACGTGTCCCTGAGACTGTGTGCATATTCCCAATACAATGACCTGCTCTATGAAATCGTCATCATATGCGTCCTTCTAGCCTTTATGTATACACATGTGTATGAGTACAATACCTACCGAATGCTTCCGTATACACTACAAATACCGTTGGCGAAATCGTGTCACCATTTAAAAATGATCTCACGAGGTGAAATTAATTGATCGATTAGTCATTAAGGTATTGTGGCCCTGAACCTGGTGTATACTTTCTTTTTTGTAACGTCAGCTGTAAACTTTTATTATTATTATTATTATATTATACATCGATTACACGAGGGATTTCCCGGACGGAAATTTTGTATGGACGTTAATTAGTATAACATGATTGATTAATTTCTAATGAATTGACAGAAATTCATGTTGTTATTACCCCTACTATGTGGTAGATAAGAAACCGTGTAAGCATATGTGGTGGCCAGAAACATCAGCAGCAGGCAGATACTTTTCCTGGGAGCCATCTGTAAAAAAAAATAATTATTTGTTAAAAATAATTAGCACACGAGAATAAGGAAAACTTTATAGAATATAATTAAATATTTAAATCAGTATAAATGCTAAAATTTTATATATCACTCTACAATGCAGTATTTTTATTCCAATCATATTGAATGACATAATAGAAGCAAAATCTCAGCATGTGATAGTGAGATATAGATTTAAAATACATATGTATTACGTAGTATATGCAGAATAGAGGTCATTTATTTTTATATCTTTTTTTAATTCTATAAATGCATATTTGATTGAACAATGTACATTTAATAATCGCACATGTAATCATGATTCACAGAAGATAATGTCGTAGAATAGCTATTGTGATTTTTATAGTAAACCCATTCATTCAGTAGAATCCTGAAAATCCATACTGCGTATATCGATACTCGCGTGCATTCTCGTGTATATATATATATACCAAGTATGTAAAAATTCCCGTTATTTGTCAGTTGTATGTATATACATGTGTATACACATATATGCTATGACATGTATGAAGGATGCTAAACTGTAGTGAGATTGAGACAGAGAAATGTTGAAAAATGAAAAGAAGAGATAGGAATTCAAAAAATTAAGGAAAGAAGAATAAATAAAAGAAAACACAAAAAGGACCAATTGTGAGACCAGAAATGACTACATGGATAAGTAAAAAAAGAGTCAGCGATGAATGATTGAAGGTTAACAAAGAGAAACGGTGTTGTACCAGTTCAATAATCTCGCTTCTACGAGAAATACAGGTAACCCAGTTACCAATTGTCTATTTTACACATTATTATTCCTCTGCATGTCTTTTACTAGGACGTCAAAGCCACCTGAATAAATTTCGACTACGAATTTCTGTAGAGCCTAGTGAAGTACTTAACTTCCTGTTATAGAGATTTTTCGGGACACCTAGAACCCGGTTATCGTGAACGTTCGTCTCATTCTTCGCGTGTAGTTTCTGTCGCCCTGATGCCATGTTCGATAAATTTCTGTGAACTTTAGTTCATGAAGTCTTGTATTTATATTTCGTATCAGCCAGCTAAATATAGATACATGCATACGAGCGAATGAAATTGAATGAATTTTAAGAAACGCATGTGAACTTCCTTGTGCGCGCATCAATATTTATTTACTCCAAAGAACGTGTGAACATTCATTTTACACGCCTAAGTATTTCTGAGAATTTATTCACACCGTAGTGCCGGGAAATTTGAATTTCACCTTTCACCCTTAGTTTCGTGTTTAAACATACCCATTAAGCTAATTGTTAGATAGCACTTATGAAGCACTGAAATGAAGAGCTTGAACGCAATATACAGCTATATATGCTTCTTTTGTAGTTTATTTATCATACATATATTTACATATGTATTATATATATATATGTATATGGTACGGAACACTTTCCTTGAAACAGTTTCGTTTCGTCTGCAATGTTCTCTAGTTTCAAACAGCAAGATTATTATAATACGGTCATCGATTCTAGTTGAGCGATATATATATAATACTGAATAAACAAAGAATCAGATCAGTGTTAACATATTGAAATACAAGTCGAATAAAAGTAAATAAAAAGATAAAAATTGCAAAGAGTCTAACTAAAATAAAACGTCGATCATGCAGCCAGTGCAAACTGCCGATTCCGTTATAACCGAGCGACTCTCGTATTACATATCTTCAGGTTCTTCAAGCTTTTGCTTTTCCATTCTTCTTTCACAGCATATACGTAACAGCGTGGGATACGTGTGTATACGTTTACAATGGTATACATATATATGGTATTTACTAAGTCACTAACCACCTGATCAGATGAGGGAGCTCCTTCCTGGAGCTAACGCAATCGGGTAACTGTTCGACTCTTTTTAGTGTCTCTGTGAGAGATCTGTTATCTTCGAGACGATAGAAAGAGATAAAATAGGTTTAAAAAATTGTAGGGACAACCAAAATTTGAGATAAATTATATATCACTAAAATATGGTACGGTAATTATGAGTATGGCCTTTGGCAAACTTTCGCCCTGAATTCCTATCGATACTACGTCATGTTTCTCCGAGAATCCAGTTTTTTAAATTTTTACTGGAACCTTTTTACTTATCTTTCTCGCACAGTAATTCGTCTACCTTTGAGATAACGCTGGAAAAATATCTCACCACTTCTTGTTCTTCCTGAGTTATTGAATCGTTACAAAAATTTGTACGTGTTCCTGAACATTGGATTTTAAAGACTTGACTAACGATATATACCACACGTACACCAAATATTGCAGATGTACATTGGAGAAAGCTTAGTTCGGTCGTCTAGATTATCGTATCTGGGTGACCCGATTGCTCCGTCTCGGAATGACTTCCTCGTCATGGTGAACTCAAAAAAACGAAATTACCTTCTGCAACTGACTTCTCAATTGAATTTTATGCCTATATTAATTGTTTGCTTATACAATTTTCTGCATCTCCATTACTTAAGTACTTCATTTTTTTTTATTGATCCTGGTACACATACTCCTTTAGACACTTGTACTATAATATCACAAACTCCAGAGGAATATAGCACTGTCAGGTCATCCGATAAGTAATGCGATATTTTTTAACATTGCACAAATAGCTGTAATAAGCATTACTAATAAGATATCCTGATAGTAACCAATTCCATTTATCCAAAACAAGCTCGTCTCAAAACGCCACTGTTCTAACTTTTAATCGTACAAGTTAAAGCAGTGAGCAAGCAGTGAGTTAACTATACGAATTAACGAGTCCATTGGAACGGTGGCAAAGCTGGTGCGCGTCGTCAACCGTTACGAAGGCTTAACATAGTCATCGCATACCTAAGTTGTATATATATATATATATATGAATTTTCCTTAGACATATAGTATGTTTCTTTGAAATAGAACCGAGGAAAAAACATGCGTAGAGGGTGAATAAAAGAATGCAGATGATGAAAGATGATTACAACGAAATAAATTATCTATGTCAGATAAGAGTAATGATGGCGGTATATAAAAAATGTTTTGTACTTTATATAACTATATATGTATATACATATATATACATATATGTTCAGTTGCAACCGATTATCACAGATATTAGAAATGAAACTCATAGAAAACTACGACGCATGATGATAAAAATATTATGCGGAGGCAGCAGAGCGTACAAAATGGTCACCCATACTCAAACGCCTCGTTTACTCTGGGCCAAAGGCACCAACACAGCTTTCTCCAGATTTCATGGCGAGATTACCTTCCGCATGATCGTGACCGATTCTCGATCACGCCCTGGTTCCGGTATAATGTGTTATAATGCGTGTATATCTAGACCCACGCGAAATCACTTATTCAGCTATCGCGAGATTACGGTAGGAAGTAATGCATCGTGGAGTAGGTATTACGATCTTGGTATAATTAGATTAAGACTCGTTATAAAAAAAATAGATGGATAAGGTGTATAATAATAGGTATGTGATAAATTTGATAATGTCTTACCGTGACAGGTGTTTCTTCTATATATTATTTTTTCCACAATCAAAAACCGTGCATCACGTATGACTTTATTTTCATTAATAATCAGTCCTCTGATTCTTGATTAAGATCCACGAGGTATTGAACGGTACTTTTGAAATCACCAGGTAGAAGTCTCTAACAAATAACACTATTGATCCGACAATGCACAACGTACAGAAAATATTATTATTAATATTAAATCAATCGTCACGTGCAGCTGTTGTTCAATTGGTTGAACAAATATTTATTCAGTATCACAAGCTTGTTCTTCACACTTTAGTTCGTACTTTTAATTTTCCCGTGATTAACCTCCGGATGATCGGATCAATAGTATATCGAACACGAATATGGATATTTATCGATATGACACTAGCAGATATACCTGTAAGTCTTGTATCCTACAGGATAAACTAGGAGTCCTCGTGCGCCATCGACCGATCACTAACTATCTACTATTCATCCATCCGGTTGGTTAAGTGGATGGTACCTGTCTGGCAGAGTACTCGTGATATGGCATGGCATGTGCTGGAATTGCATGGTAAAGTCATAAGAGTCTGTTACAGTAGAGGTGGTCATGGTAGCTGGTGGTGGCGGTCACAGGAACAGTGGTAGTGGAGACTAAACCAAAAGGTGGTGGGTACTGGAAAAAGAAAGAAGGGATGAGTCCTTACGGATCGGCAAACGAGTAAAAGAATGAACGGTATAGTATATAGAGTGAGGGAAGAGCTAAAGAGAAAGAATTAAGAAAGAGAAGTTTGTCGGCGAGGTGAAGAAGGGGGAGCAGAAGTAGCGTCATGGCGAAGGGTCAGGAGGAGTAAGGAGTGGAGAAAGCAAAGTGGGTCAGTGGCCAGGTCACGTGGAAGAAGGGGCCCAGCATGCACGATAGCGACACACTGTCCTACTGAAGGGGGTCCGTTCATTGAGTCGCCATCTTCCATATATTGTAGTACATAGATTGAGTAGCATTGGATCCCTTGTGGAAGATTGAAAATCTAATCTCGGTCCTTAGATTAATTTTAGGTTAGGTTAGGAACTATTATAGTTAGAAGTACATAACTGTAAAGTGAATTGGAACAGTGTCGTTGTCGCACACGAATGAACGCGTCTTTGTAAGGGGCCTTGGGTGGAAACCTGCTAGTCAATCGAAGACAGGTTTCACGGAAAGGATATATTTGCATTCGATATTTCAATGGGGATAATGTGACCGGACCGAGTTTCACCTGGTTGTGAAGTCCTGACAGGAATTGCACCTCTTTGCCTTCTGCATTACCCCATTCTCGTCATCGTATTCTCGTGACTAACCACGTTATTTTATGTCAGGTTAGGTACCCGAGCGTAGATCGTTCCTAGCCAAAAGTTCAACCTAGGTGTGCTTTAATCAATAACGGTCCTTATTCGAACATCATATCTCTTTTGCCCATCCTCACACTGAACAGGAAATCCTGTGACGATCATTTGCTATGATGATATAGTCTGAATACTTTGATTAAATTAGTATGAATTATATATAGAGTTATTAGCGAATTAGCATTCGGCTATATATATTGTACAAAAGTGGACCCATGAACTTGGGTAATAAGAATTTTTGAAGGTCCTATTTAAAAAGGCCCTGGCCTGAAGCTATTAGTACACTACGGCAATCAATAACGGAGTCAATGCCCCGGAGCTCTAGGATGATCGAACAGAACCAGATATTTTCTAAAGGTGTCCCGGCCAGGGGAGCGTTAATTGGGTTCCTGGGAGGAGTTTTCCTAGCATCTTCGATCGGTACTGAATACGAATGCTGGTCGGTGTCTTTTGCACTCTTTCTTTCTTGCCCCTGGGTACTTACATATCTCTCATTTCTTGTTCTTTCTCTCTCTCTCACACACACACACACACACACACACACACACACACACAATGTCTGTCTACCTAGTGCAAAGCAACAACCAACAACCTGCTTGTAGGTAACTGGGTCTTTGCACAATTTCCATCGAACCTGGATTAGCGGACGTTTTTCTCCAATCATTTTTCATACCAGCACCAGATATTTCGATGAAGTAGGGACTTTTCCGATTTATAGATACGAATACCGACCTGAGTGCACATTCTCTACTATTTCAAAGAACTGGGTCATCTCACATAACATTATAAGAAGCTTCATTTAGTTTCGGTGTAGATTTTAAATGGGCGCGTCTCGAATCTTTATGATAATGCACTATCATCATCGAAGGACTGACACAGGCGTCTATTTTCATCAATATCCACTTGCACTGCCTCAAGCGAGTTAGGTATGGCGCGATCCTAGTTGAAATCTCTTGAGAAACTAGGTAAAAACACTGTCTTCGCATCCCGTAAACCATAATCCTGTAATCTCCCAGAGTCAAGAAGAAGCCATTTCTGTTCCTGGGGGATGAAGTCTGCACCATTTCAGTTTGACCTCAGATCACTATGTCGAAGTAGGTCAAATCGTGAGCCGCTTGCCATAGACATTCCACGATAATAGATTGATCATTCTCTAATATCATTTTAAGTAACATTAATACAACTTTACAAATTACCTAATACCTAATAATGACAATGAACGCCCCATCAGTGTCTATCATGCATTAACCTGTCTGTCCAATTTAAAAAGATGATCCGCGTCATGAAATATATGATATTCAATTGTCATATGACCTAGAGACGTGACCCTATCAAATTTCACCGAAAGGTGGAAGAAACTTTCGTGATCTTATTGTTAATCAGTACCAGGAAAGAGTAAAGCTTGCCTAATATCCCATATAGTGGAGAAGCATATCGAAGGCCAGTTTCCGACCCTGACCGTGACTACCATAAAACTAGGTCAGGTACACTACCATTGCATTAATACCTATGCCGACCGTGATCGTAGCATACTGAGTAACATTATGATCCTTTTATGATATTTCTACTGAACATGATCATCATATATCATACTTCACAATGTAACTGAAGAACATAGAAGCATTAGTGTACGCAGGGCGCCATTCACTATAGTATCTGCAAGAATCATTCTCAAATAATGGATAGTAAATTACAAATGAATTCTCTGCTTGCACGTGCGGCGATTTCATAAGGAAAAGACGGAGGTAGGTTGGCTTTCTCCAAAGCCACTTAACCCGGTCCAGTGACATCCATCCATAGACTTGTCACGCCTGCGACATCTAGGATTGCGTGGAAAAAATAGTAAATTTCTGAAAAAGAACGTTTGCATCTAATTGCATCTTATTGGCGAATGGCTTCCCTTGTTACTGCATACGTATAGTAACATATAGCTTTACACGAATCCGCACAGTATACATCTATTCCAGAGTGTAACAACGTTCTATCGAGTCTGGATAAGAGTTATTACTCGTTAAAAGGTTATAAGGTTAGATTGCTCCTCACGTTTCCTTTTTCACCTTATCCTCTAGTTTTTCCGTTTCTCTCTCCATTATTTTCATCCACTGTAGACTCTACGCCTCCTCGGCTGGAAATAATAGACGACGTCAACAAGCACGATTGCTGTGTTTTATTTCCAACGGAAAATTGAGACGCTTACTGTTTCATGTAGAGTAAACGGCGCCTGTTTTGTACACTGTGAGAGTTTATAGGAATGTGCTATATTTCGGTGCTTCGAATGACAATCGGGTGATGTTATCTGTGCACTATTAATCAGAATGCAAAAACGTCCTGACTTTTCTAGGACAGTCACCACTCTTTTTACAACTACTCTCGGCTTCGTTCTGTCCTTATTTTTCTCATGAGAAAAGTAAAAACGCTGTGGCCTCATTTTACTAGAGAACCTCTTCCTACCACCTTACGAGGACTAATAAATGAGTTAGGCAAATTAATTGCACACACGTTCATGCTAAATATTATCATATACGAAATTACACTGCCTGGATATTTTTATGTTTTACTTTTATTCCAAGTAGTTAGAGAGGAGAGAACATTTACTGATAGCTTATATTAGAAGTGCTTTGAGCTTATGTAAATATTGATAAAAAAATAAAAGATGCTTACTGCACTTGTAGAAGAGTAAGGAAGAAAAATGAAAAATTTAGTTACAAGTGACCAATAATCTTCGACACTCGAGAAATTTTCTACAAATATTAACAGAGTGCGATAATCACTTCCGGTACTGATCGCGTAAATCGAAGGACAAAAGATTTCCCCCTCGATAGTATCTGTCAAGTGGAAAAATATAAAGATTAAAAACTTAATTTTTTTTTTAATCGGTGCGATCTTTTTTTTATAATAAGGGATAATACAATTCACAGCAAACCAAATAACAAATAGGGACTGTGGGTATTTACAGGCTTGAAGAATTTTAATGTGGAACACACAAAAAAATATCGTCACGAGATCCCATTTCGTACCATCTTAATGAAAATAAATTACGAATACGTATTTTGAGTTTATGATACGTACACACACTCATACTTACAGACACACTTTCACATATATATATATTTTTATAAGTCTATCATCTTATCTATTTATATATATATAAATATATATTTATATAAATTAATTTAAATAGAAATTTTAGAGATTTCTTATATACGCAGTATATATCGTCAGTTCATCTTTGCTTGAGAATCGGCAATGCCAATTTCACGTAACCACGAAGTGATTGTTTTTCTTTTTTCCTTTTCTATACTGAACTTTTGAGAAAGCCATTACCAGGCGTACCAATGGAGCATCGAGTTGAGATCAATGTGAGTGGTTTGTAATCTTTTCGATCTACTCGGCCGTAATGGCACTGATCGCAATGTCATTCTTATATTATGCAATGCGCCGCCATTTGTCCTATAGCGCCTAGTACGCCCTCGCCAATTGTCCGTGAATAAATAAACGTATAAATATTAAAGGCGCTATTCATTCTAATGGATATTGATTTTCATCACGCGCTTCTATCTACATACGCATTTTAAAAAAAAAGCATCTCGTTATCACCGGTTTCCAATTTTCATAAGGATTTTTCTTTTGTCTTTACCGATGTAATCGGTCAGTCCTACTACGAGATATTACCGATTGGTCCTTGAATAAATTATGTTTAATTCTTGCTCAAGGATTATTAATGATTGCAGTATTATAATTCGTGAGAATTTCAACTGCTAACTCCATGATCGCAGGAAGGAAGCGTAATTCATTTACTTGACGTGTTACGAGACTTGCTACGACTCGATTATTCTGTCAGCATTAATTTTACGAGTCTCCGTAAAGCGTGACAGCCGGACAGATTGGATTAACCTCGAAATCGTTGTTAAATATTAAAATTGTAAAATTTGGTTAATCCACTCTCGAAATTCGGAAATTCGTGTATAAACGCCTGGTTGGTTGGGTTCGGCACAGCCGATACCCCAACTGATAACACCTGCAAGTATCCATCGTTTATCTCTTGGTCTTTGGATAACCATAGGACCACCACTGTCTCCCTAAAACAAGAAAGAACATGAATAATAAAATTGTTTTTTTTTTCTTTTTAATGTTACCACGCATGTAGAAAATTATGAGTTTACCTCGCACGAATCGAAACCACCTTTTCTCCATCCAGCACAAATGAAAATATTAGGTATATGCTCGATGTACCCTGCATTCCTGTACATGGCCTCGCATACGGTATTATTAATGACGGGTACAGAAACTTCCTGCATCACCGACGGCAGTGGGCCATCTGAAATTAATGAAAATAAGGTTGAGCTAATCTTTGAGTGCCATTTCGATTGGATAAATTTTCATGGACTGAATATAAAGTGTAGCTACGTGCGAGTGCATCTCTACACCAAATCATGTTTGATGCCTCTATGAAAAATTTGTCCAACCGATAATGCTCTAAACCAATAATCCTTGTGATACATAGTGCTAAATGATAAAGCTTTATCATTCTTATATACAATATAGTAATATTAATCACCTTCGTATAATCTTCCCCATCCAGTGACGTAAGCTGTCAGTCCTACGTAATTATCATCATCATCAGGTAAACATATAGGAAGTGCGTTTGGTTGGAATGGCTCAAGTGGTTCGTAGAATCGTAAAAGGGCTAAATCGTATTCAAATGTTCGCGCGTCAAATTGCGGATGACTAGCAACTATTTGAACTCTTCTTTCTTGATAACCATATGGTTCGTCCTCATTTGCGAGGTCGTGCTCGCCAATTCTCAATAGAAGATCACTTGGTGGTACACTGTAATATTAATAATTTTGTATTATTTTATGAGTGTAAAAACTGTGCACGTAGGACATAAAAAAAAGTAGTTTAAAAAAAATTGGTTGGAATGAATACAACCAAAAATTTATATAAACTTACTTTTCAACACAGTGGGCAGCTGTGATTGCCCAATTTTGATTAAGAAGAGCAGCACCACATTTGTGCAGATAGGTAGACGTTCGCCATTGTCTTAAAGATATCTAAAAATGCAATACAGGCATTACTTTCGTATACTATTGAGAATTATGAATATGTCAAATTAACAAGATGCGATTATTAGTCACAAAATTATCACAACTATAATCAACTATGATAGTTTAATAAAATTGTGATCAATTCTAATTCAAGTGTATCGATTGGATTAAGAAATAATAATAACTGTGTTGACTATCACAGCGTCTAGCGATAAGAAACTGTTTTATGTAATATATTGTAAAAGTTAGCAGACAATAGCTATTTAAATCGATGGTGATCGTCATTTTTATATCTACCTGCCAGGGCCATTTTCCAAATGAGCTTCTTTCCCCACCGACGATCCTCGATTCCGGAAATAATCGTCTTCCACAAACTGCAAGGATAAAAATCGTCGAATTTATACTCTTTACGATATTCAGATTCGCTAGTGCCGCCATGTTGGTCTAACACTATGTATATAGATATATACAGATAAGTTAAACTCATTCGATTGGCTAGACCGGATGAACCGGTAGAATAGCGCATGACTTTTTTTTATCTTAATACATACCAAATCGTTAATTAATTTTACTCAGTGTTTTATCAATTGCATATGTGTCTGTTGACTGAAAAAAGACAATTATTACAGTCTTGAGTAGTCTATTGAGATATTAACAGTGATGATATCATCGGTTAAACTTTTGTTGATAAAAGAAATCGCTGATACGTTACGAGTGATGACAATTACTTATTAAAATCAATAGAAAAATATTATACATATAGGGTTATCAATTGTCGTGAAAAATACAATTAATATGAACGTATTTCTTTAACGATGCAGTTAACTATGATTGACTGCCTTTGATTAATTATGTATTTATAGGATGCGTATATTTATGTGTTCGCAAAAACTGAAAGGAGGCAACATATATGAATTATTTGTGTTTTTGATTGGCAAATTTGTCTATGGTTATCAAATGCGATTTAGTGCAAAGTTGTATTCGCATGGGGCTATGTCTTATACTCGGTGCAAGAAAATTCTACCAATCAAAAATGCTAGGATATTTACTCTACAGATTCCAGTAGAATTGTATGCCACGTAGATTCCTGCTTTATCAACGGTAAACGTATTCCTCTTTTACCCTGTGAGACAAATTCTATGGAAAGCGTGGCGAATAACATTGTGGTTATTCAAGGGGTTGTTACCTTGCTTGTAGTCGGACATATTGAGAGTTTCCATGGGTACTGGAAGATCCGTAGACATGGTAACTGTTGCGATAGGAGACAGCATAGCAGGAATAGTCGGTCTTGTTGTAATCCGCTCTGTTGTAGCGCTTTCCGTCGTCGTCGTCGTCGGCTTAACTGCAGATTCAAGTTAAACTTGAATTTATAAGGTAGTTAAAGTGCACCATTAAAACTGTACTTGGTAAAAGCAACTTGCGTCTATGCTAAGTAGATTAAATTCTATCTATGCAATAGTATTTCTATATTACATATAATGTACGAGTTTTGTATATGGAACAAAGTTTCTTACTCGTTGTTACTGGCTTTTTTGGTGGTTTCGTTACTGGTATTATTGTCAATTTATCATCTTCATTTGGTTTTCCAGGAGATGGAGACTGAATCATTATCCAACCATCTGGTGTAGTTATCGGTGTCCATTCCGTCTCTGCTGCTTCTGGAAATACCGTAATTCGTTAAGTGGAACTGGGTGAGCGTAGATGAAGTCAAATAGAATAGCAAAACTGATAAACCGGCATAAAACAGGTTGAGATCATTAATGGAGAAATCTGACTTATTCGATTTTCAAGATGATGGCTTGGAAAAAGATTTGGAAAACGATGATTATATATGAGGCGAGAAGAAGATGAATATCGTCGGTGAGAAAACAGTTATTGCTGTTTGGTATCTTTTCTGTCAACCTCTACAGGAACTCAAAAGAAGCGTAATCTCTGATAAATTAGTCGGATCAAGTATTAAGATAATATTTGTAAAAGATTTATATACAGATTAATTTTCAATTAATTATTATCTTATACGTGGCAGATATTGAAATAATGGGTTAACCTAGGTCTCTTTGGTCTCACTCTCATTAATGACGATATTTTGTCACTCAGGAGAATAATTAAAATTTTGACTATGGTAAAAACTTAATTTTCCTAATATTCATGGCACAACTTACCGTCTGAACTTGAAGTTGAGGATGAAATGTTTGGTACTTTGGTAGCTGTCTCGTCAGAATTTGAAGTCCATGTAACAAGACCTGGTGAATGGGTCGTCTGTAGAATATCATTAGCAGTATCGACTTTGTTAGCTTCCGGTTCTTTGCCAGGAAGTATTTCATTAGTGAGAGTCGATGCATTTAAAGGTGAGAATGTAACTGACGCAGATGAGGACGACAATAATGCAGAAGTGGGAGAAGACATTGTCGAAGTCGTACCCACAGTGTAAACTGGAGGTTTGATAGATGGTTTTGTTGGTTTTCCTGGTTTTTCTGATGGTCTTGGTTTAGTTGATGATGCCGTAGGCTTACTGCTAGAAAGAACAGGTTTAGCTCGCTCCGTAGTGGAAGTCACAGGTCTTGGTGTAATCCTCGTAGTCGTAGGCGCCTTCGTAGGCTTAGCGGATGGTTTGGGTCTTATCGTCTGAGGCTTTATCGTAGTGATAATAGATCTGACTGTAGTAGTAGACTTGGTCGAACTAGTAGTAGTATTATTACGTACAGGAAGTGTCGGTTTCTTTGTAGGTTTATAACCACCGAACGGAATATCCTCCTCAGTAGCAGCTGGTGGCTTTGGCCCAACAGTAGACAAATTACTTTCAGTACTTGTTGCAGGAGTTTCACTACCCTGCACCACCTTCGACGTTGAAGATATAGGGGGCGCAGTAGTATAATTAGGTCTAATGAACCCAGTGGTCAAGGGCCTTATTGTAGTAGTCGTCCTCCTCGTGGGAATTGGTCTTCTTGTAGTAACAACAGGTGGTTTCTTATGAGTAGTTTGATCTGGTCTCTTAGTAGTAGCTAGATTAGGTCTACTAGTAGTCGAATTCCTGGGTGGGAATCTCGTTCCAGGAGTAGTTTTCTGTGTAGTAGATGCAGAAGGTCTACTCGTTGTCACTTGGACGGGCTTGTACGTCGTGGGTTTGACATTGTTCGTAGAAACCAGAGAAGGAATCTTGGTCACATGCTGATCATTAATAGGTTTTTGAGAAATGGGAGGTCTGGGTCTGGTTGGTCTACCAGTGGTGTGGTTGGTCGTGAAAACAGGCCTTTGTGGTCGACCTGACGTAGTCAGAGTTTGTTGAGTTCCAGTAGTAGGTCTAACACTAGGTCTTGTTGTAGGCTTTGCTGACGGTATGGATGTAGGTCTCACTGAGGGTCTATCTGGAGATACATTCTGTACAGTTTGAAACGTGGACAGGCCCACAGTTTCTGTAGTGGGATCAGGAACATTGGGCCTGTTTGTAACCACCTTCTGTGGGTTCTGAGTAGTTCCTGGTTGATTAGCAGAGCTACTCAATACACTGTCTGTGCTAGAAATGAGGACTGGCTTCTTTTCTGGTTTAGGCCTAGGCTTAGGGAAGTATCCAGGTATATTATTGCTCTCGATGGAAGTTAGATTTGTGACATGGGGCCTACTGGGGCCCTCTTCGATAGTATTATCTTGAGGATATAGGTCAAGCTCATCATTAATCTTACAGCAGCTTCCAAAGTAGAAACGGTCGATGCATGTACCCAAGTGTGTGCCATTTGCCTTGACACAAGTGAAGGCAAACATACATACACCTGTCTCACCGGTCCTACGCGATACACACGGCAAGTGCCTGATGTTCCTTCCTATTCCTGGAAAAATAAAACAGAAAGAATATACAGATTTTTATAATGATATTAATAAACATCAAAGAATGTTAGATAAGTATATACAGACTAGCGGGAATGTTAAGAACACTGCATTTTCTTGAGAATTCATGAAGTCAAGAAGAAGGATAACCAGAGGAGATTCTCATCTTTTTCTCTTATTATGTTATCAAGCAACAGCACAGCGAACGGACCTAACTGTGCATTTCCGCGCAGTTCACATTCCGCCCCGTTCTTTTAATCGCTTATTAAGGAGGAATTCTCGTTTGACGCATAAGAAAATCGATTTTTTTATTATATTTTGTTAAAATATAAACACTTGAAAACGTGTATTTACATTTTTAGGTTGAAATTCGAAAAATAAGGAAATTGCAAGTAGTTTACGGTTTTACACCACCAGTTGAAATCAGACCATGCGCACCAACTGTCACCGCTTAGATTATCACGGATAACAAAAGTGGAGTAGCGGTTGGAATTCCTGCTATCTATAGATACTTTCAGTGTCTCGAATAAGAGGAAGGAATCCTTTATGCGCAAAGAATAGCAAATTAGTCTTTGACAGCTCTAAGTATTCTTAATCATTTCGTAGACTAAATGTCAAACATTAAACGCGTTTTACTCGAAACAGCATTTTTGAACCACGTTGGCCAGGTACCTCAAAAATGAATGATTCGATCGACTCTAATTATTGCACGTATATAAAGTACATGTGCTTCTATTACGGAGACCGGGATGTTTGACTTATCTCAAGTAAGTTTTTTCAATAACAAAAATTTGCTACAAATCTCGATGCGAAATCTGATAGTTTTTTTCAACTAAAAGCTGCTATTTCTTCAACCAATTGCTTAGATTCCGATTCCCATAATAGCGACGTTCCTGAGCAATAAAAGCGTCCGTTTTTTGTTTCACAGCACCACAAGTGAAGTTATAACGCCAGCGCACCAACAATATCATTGTCCAACACGAGATACGCAGCGACTGATAATTCAGAAAATCTGAATTTAGGTAGTGCGAAAAAATTCATGTAAAATCTTAGAAGTTTAGCACAAACTACTCTAAAATTCGAAAGTGATTGGGCAAATCCTTTTCGTATAAAAACTCCTGAAAATCCCGCATTTTTACTGCTTCAGATGAAAGTTCTATAATACGCATTACGCTTTTTACAAATTATTGATTTACGGTATTTTAAGATTAGACTTATCGTACTGAGAGATAAATTTTAAAACCATTGGAGCGATTACTTAAAATTTATAAAGAATAATAATAATGCCTCATTACTAAAAATCCATTATCACAGTGACAATACTACAATTCTAATCCCAATTAATACATAGTAACTTTTTTATGTTGGATAATGTAAGATATATGGTATATTATATTACTGTAGATCGATTGCATATTATAAAAAATATGTCAAATATTTTCTCTCTTTCTTACACACACACGCATGTATTCAGCAGTATATTAAGCGAACTGTGTATAACTTATTGAGAAAACGTTAGGATGAAATCGAAAATGGAAATACATACATAATCAGTAAGAACACTCTAAGATGTCACCATCCTTCCTATATGATTTTTTTTCTGTATATATTACATATTCTATATTTTATTTGTTTAGGGCCATTCATATGAAATGCTCCGTATCTCCGCATTGCCGAAGAGCGAATCGATGTCAGTCAAGCCGAAGCATCGCGGTACCGTTATGTCTCAATGTATGAGCCTATAGGCCAACTATAGTTGGCTGACTTTAAAGTGGGTCACAGTCATAGCCTAATGTAAGAGCTTGACTTCTTCTTAGGCGTTTTATAATACCAGTCAGGCCTATGGTTGTTTCATTCCTTTCATTCTTTTCGCTCTTTTACCCTGAAGGATAAAAAAGGGCACATTCCATAACGTCAGGCACCATGACGATTTATATACCTGACCCAAGTTGCGGCAGGTACCTGCACTGTACATACGCAGACCCCTGTAAATGTTCCTTTGAATAACTTTAAGTGTCGAAAATCTGTTTGAATCATTTTTAGAAAAGAGAAAAATCTTTCTGATCTTACTGAGATTGCATACAAGTAATATACGTATATAGTAGGATATATTTATAAAGATAATCGATTATAATTATTGATGATAATTAAGGGATTAAAAAGCATAATTTTTTCAGAGCAAATAGGTATTTATATGGGTACTTTGAAAATGTGAATATTTTTTCTTTGGAATGACCTTTTGTATCTACTTTTTCTAATTTGTTAGCAATTTTTGTATTATTGATCCTTGGACAATGACACTTTCTGGAATGATTTCCAAAGAAGGTTATATTACGTATTCTCTCACGCTTTTACAGTTCTCTGATGTAATCTTTACCGCAAGGTAACGTTCTATCCACGGTCAATGTCTTTTCTCGACATTTGCAGCCTTTACAAGGCAAACACCTGTAGTAGACTAAAATGAAAAATATGGCTCGCTTCCCCCCTCTCATCCCTCTTATTCTTTACTTTTATAAATAATATCGGGCTCCATATTAAAAACACTAAGCGCCAACTTTACGCAGACGACTTAGAAATATACGTTATTACCCTTCAATGAGTAGTCTAGACAAATCTGTAAACGCTATCAATGAGGATGTATATCGTATTAGTTTTTGAAGAAAAGATAACTTCTGCTTGCTGAAACTGCAGAAGGTTCAAGTAATTATCTTAGGCCCCAAATGATACATAAATGCCCTGAACCCGAATCGACTCTCCTGCCTTGGGGATGGAATCGTTAAAATACCTATATTCGCTAATGCTCACAAATTTGATACAATTCTCGATTCGAAACTCACATAGATTATGTCTGCTCCAAAGTAAATTCCACTTCATATCAACTAATCTACTTCCGACAATAGATCGACTTCATCACTCGGAAATATCTAGCACAATATCTCATGAATTTCGCAGATAGACTACTGCCTCCTAGTTGTCACCTTCGACATCGGTTCTACACGAAACTTGTAGCTTCAGAGTCTAATCAATCGATGCATAAGTTGCATATGTATCTTATCGATTGCATTAATCGATGCAACCGATGCATATGCAGCCCCTAGGGAAGAAGATGTAATTCCAGCCCGCTGAAGTTTGGGCTCAAATTAGCTGATCGACGTAATTAGTTTATTTTACTCGTTACCTTCAAGGACGCTATCCATGGACGACCCAAGTATCTGAGAGACCTTCTCACTGTTTTTAGTCTCGTAAAGACACCAGGTCAATCAGATCATGCAACAACAGGCACCTTACACCTCTGGCTTCAACAAACGTAGAACAAGCAGTATTTTCCATTCTGACTGCTACACTCTGGAATTCTCTTCCTCAAACTATTATCGACTCACCCTCGATCTCTATGTCCACAAGGGCTCTACTCACTTACTTATTCAACGATGGAAGCACAACTCTGCCTGCACGTCTTTGAAAGTCTTGACGAAATAAACTAACACTGCAATCAATACAATTATAAAGGCAGAATCTAATGCTGAACAGCTACCTGCCTAATGCCTTGCACGTTGATTTATCCTGCTGTAGTAAATAAAATTTGGCGCAGCTGTATATATATATATATATATATATAGGATAGTTACTGAATCACATATATAATCATATGATGTGTACGAGGATAAATGTTTGAGGGTATAAACATCTCAGGAGGATTTTGGGTGTCGATGAGCAGCGAGGAAAAGGACGATTGTCGAGGAATGGCAGTCCATATAGTTGAACACTAACGAAGATTGTAATAAAAAGCAAATAATATAAAAATTACGTGTATTTCATCTAGTTGCTTTTGAATCCTCACAGAATTCATTCTAACCTACATTACAACTTAGCATGTTCTATCTGTAACACAATACTGCTAAGATTTTTGAATTTGTTTAAATTTAAATAATAGTCTTTATATCAGTCTACCTACCTATTTCAGGCAATATAATGTGGAAATTGTGATCTGTTTATTGTCTAATGAATCCAGTGCTTTTGAATAAAGCAAACCAAAAGGCGTGACCCAATTTTAAGTCAGTAGGTCAAACTCATAGTGTAACCACAGCCAAAATAAAAAAAAAAGCAAATATGTATAGTAAAGCCTATAGATCTCACTAGAATGTGTGTTGCCGGAAGTGCCGCATGAGTCACGAAGAAAGAAGAAAGTAGTGACGTGAGAATTTCATTCGTGACTGATTCTAATAGCGTATTGAATATAATCTGTAAAATCATGAGTCTTTAGCTGATAGTCACAAAAAAAAGTAAAAATAAATCTGTCCGCATGAATTTTATCCAACACAGTTAATATGGAAAAACAGGATAATAATGAGTCGCATCAATGACCGGCTATGACCTACTTCTATAGAAAACTGACCAGTCCGCCCACGTTCCGTTCGGGAGACGATCCAAGGTAGGGTCAATGTCGTTACGTGATACGTATATATCCACACACGGTTGATCATATATGTATATCCTTAGCAGAGGTATTTGCGTACCAGGAGCGAGGGAACAAAGCTCCGTTACTCAGCTGATACATGAGGAAAAGTCCAAGAATCATGGAAGCAAAAGAGGCCAGTCGGTTAAATTCGCTGACTAATAAAACCACTATTTTCCAGATGGCTAAAGTCAAAATTCGGGAGACATAACATAACGGTAGTGGTTTTGCAAGCTTGCGGGTGCGGCTGCCCGTTCGATTCAAGAAATTCACGTCAGTCACGTTCCACGCTTACATACTATAGTATATCTAATATAATGCGATTAGCACGTAGGCCATATCCAAGATGGAATAATGTATTCCTGGTATCGACTACCTACATCCGGACTGACTGACCTAATATCACACAGTCACGTTAGCCTTGACCTTAAAAAAGTTTAGATAAAAAATATATATACCTCCCAGTAGAAATTGTGGTGAGTATATAGGATTAGCAAGAATCCTGTACTCCAAAAGTCCGCATAGTATTCCAGCAGTCACGAGGAGTCTCTCTACGACCTTCATCTGGAACAGGTGAAAAAGAGAGTAGGATGAAAACGATATCGTTCCTGGCTGCTAGTTTCTTGGAAATAATACGTCACAGTTCGCATAGAAGCTTAATTACAGTAAAAGATCCACGTCGAGTCTCACGACTCTTATAGCGTTCTATCTCCATACCATTGAGAACATTCTCACGAGGGTGGCGAACTTGTCCCTTCATCGAGAATTATGATAATTACATGATATACCTTACGAGCTCTTAACACAGTAAGTACCGAGCACCGCACCTTCTGAATTCTCATTCTTTTCATTAACTCCCCTCACTCTTTCTTTTCCTAGCCATTTTTCTCCATCTCACTGTGATATTCACCAAATGCCTCTAGCCACGCGACAGAAAATGACATCGATGCTTTTGTCTTTGAGGAAGTTCTTCATAGAGGTTCGACTTCACGATTTGTGCCTGAGACGGATCCGAGGTCGCTGACCGGTACTGGGCCCGGGAAGAGGATCATTTACCAAGATCAGTTATACTATCTACCAGTAAGTACGTACATTGAACCAACCACGAATCACCGGATGTCTACGAACGAGAATGCTGACTCTCGGTTGCTGTTTGTGTCTTGCTTTCAGGTAATCCTCATCCCCAGGGTTATACGTGTAAATTAGCTATTTCCGCTTACGTTTTTTTCCCGTTTTCTTTTTCTTGATATTATTATTGTGCCACGTAGATTCTTGTATCGATAGACAAAATGTTTCATACAAAAATTCTATTCCTTTTCTGCATTTTCTCTACTCTATGTTAAAACAACTCTATCCGTTACTAATGTTAAAGCTAGGTACCTGGTTAACTATGTAGTAGTGATATAGAAAAAGTTAGTTACAGTTATTCGGGAGACGAAATTCCGAGTCTATTCAAGTCGCCAAGATCATAGAATGTCACGGAGTATTGCTTGGCATTGCTTCACGCTTTGAATTTAACAATAGCGTTATTTTCTAAGAAAAAACAGTGCTCTCTTGTTATATACCGATTTGAACATTGCTATTTCTAAAGTATTTCACTCCTGTACAATTTAATGCGCGGATCGTAATAGAAGCTCTGCTAAGAAGATACATTAATTGATGGAAAAATTAAGAATTAAAAATCTAGGTACTTTAATAACAATTATCATTATTGTTAAAAACTGTTGCGCCTCACAATAAAATAGTACTCTTGCTAATGATTTTAAAGAATTCTTAGCAAGGGAAAAGTTTCTTTTACGTACTGCACGACTTCCTGATATTTCACCTAAGAAAATCAACGTAACCTTGCTCATAAAATTACTTTAATTCCATATTTCCTTGAGTACGGCGAAATATACGACTCGTGGAAATACGTAATTGTTTAATTAGATTAATAAACCACCCTAAGTCTTATGATAATTCTAATAGTTTCTGTACTCACAGTTACCCACCCAGGAATGACACATGGTCTTATTAATAATATTACAATTAATTGATTATTCATTAAGCAACAGGATCAAAGTGACTATTCTTGCCTATGAAACAAAGTTTTATCGTTACTAATAGTTCAAGAATTTCGTAACGGGTTAACTCTGTATAACTTATAACATCAAACTTTCTTAGTTACCTACTTATAGATTGCTAATATGAGAACTTGAATATCCTAGATATTATAACCATAGACGTATAGTATACATGTATAGTATACATAGTCAATTGAATTTTCACGAGGAAGAACTAAAATTCTTTTGTTATTCCAGTAACGTCTTCCTGTACTGTGCGTTAAGTACGTGTTACGAAGACCAGAAAGGTTCGTTCCTACGTAACGAACTGATGATGTCGTATGGATTTGTGAAAGTCGAATCCACACGAAGAAATGTACCGCTATCCGCGAACGACATACGGGTTACTTTAGTAACCAGAGGAGCAATGTACACCAAAAGATATGTAGGTAGGTAGGTAGGCAGATATTCGTAAGCACGTTCTGTTGGTATTTAAAGTAATATTGACGTACGACGAAAAATATATCTTCGTAAATAGGGCAACGAGAAAAGCGGGAAATTTAAAGGATGTCGACAGCAGCAATGCATCCGAGTGACTATCCCACTCTAGTTCTTCAATGTACGTAGAACTGAGCTATAAAGAATGAAGAATCCATGAAAGAAAGGATGAACGATCCTTGGCACTTGACCTTGAGAAAGAATTATTCAAAAGAGAAGATTCTTACCTCGATCTTCTCGTCGATTGGATCCTTCGAGGATGACAATGATAAATTAATATAGATCAATCAGATTCCTCTGCACTGCATCATTCCATCTATCACGCAACAACGTCTCTCGTGCTTCACACACGAATAAAACACTCGCGAATCTATACCGATTTCATTAATAAAATATTTTAATCTTGCTATTATTATTATTATTATTACTGATCTCCCTCAATCCTCAAGTATCGTCACGTTTTTTCTTTATATTCACGTTATTTCCACTCTCAATTATTGGCACTCGGTAACGTTAATCCTTTTGGTGTCTTTAACGAATTAAAGAATTTATAAGAAAATGTGTATAAGCGCTCAAATCGTAATGAAAATTACGATGAAATAATTAACGAGAGATCTTAATTGTTGTCGCAGGAAAACGTACTTGTTCGTCCACCAAATGTAACTCTCGTACGACTGACTTCTCGATCCTTAACGACGTCTTCCTGCGGATCAGGTCGAGGAGAGTCACCACCTTCTGGATAGCCGTCGTAGCGTACAGTCCTCGCGACCGCCGTACGCTCCTTTCCACTCTATTCTAGTCCAGCAGCATGCACGAATCCTATCGCATCGTGTCGCATCGCATCCCCGTAAACCCCTCTAGGTATAAGATGCTAAACTGGCTATAGACTACCTGGGAATTGTATAGGAGTTCGCATAGTTTAACAAACTGCTGGTAGTATAGTGAGTTCTTCGAGGTGAGGTGGTGGCAATGACCGTTCTCTTGGTTCCCCTTCTTCGGCTCGAAACTCGTGCCGTTGTCGCCACAGGTCGAACCTGCTGTTCCACCAGTGTATCTTTACTTCTTTCCAGACATCAAGGTACTTTGCGGCCTCCGCTTCGTCCTTATTTCATTCACTAAGAATAACCGCTATTGGAAGGGATGATGCTTCGTATGAAGCAATCTTGATACATTGACTTTTGAGGGTTTCATTGTGTCCTGGAACAGACATATTATTTTCGTATTAGTTTCGCTTCAGTGACTAAATTGGTTTTTAATGATTTATCAGGATTTACAAGAAAATTTGAGAAATTTTATGGAAGACGTGATAACTTCTTGAAAGGCATCTTGAACTGATTTTGGATTTTTTAATATTGCTTTTGATTATAGGATCAGTTACGCTTTTTACTTATAGATCGGATATACTGATGTGTTGAGTAATCGATTATTTAATGTAATATACATGAAACCGTATTATCGATTCGAATTTCATTTAGTAGATAATATTCGGTCAGTTGCCGATTTCACCCGATATCTAATGTAAAGTGTGTGCAATGCAGTGTATCGACTGCAGGTAAACGGTGCATAAGGGATATCAATACCCAATGCATTCTCTGTATCAGAAGAGCTCAGTGAAGATACACTACCAGGAAGATGCAATTTACGTAAAATTCATTTAATTGGCTTATTTTTCGCGACCTTTTTTGCGACCGAATTTAATAAATAATCAAATTTGGAATATCAGTCATAGAGATACCTCTTGATTCTATTTAACACTTAAAAGTCAAGCTTACCCACGCACGTGAAAAATGTGTTGTTGCTGTTACCAAAGCGGTGATTAGTATTTGGACAGCAATAAGCTTTAGTAGCAACGAGAGAATTCTAGGAAGATTTGCGAAGATTTAACAGAATTATTGTCATTGCTGATTCTATTTATTATTGTCTCAATACATTTATTATTGTCCATGTATCGATAAAAATTCCGTATATTAATTTACATAACTTTAATATAATTCTAAATTAATGTTAAATATTCATACCCCTTTTACGAATCTACATATAATAACCTATAAGATCAATATATGAATACATAATTATAGATCTATCAAGGGACAGCCATTCTTTCCTGTTTCACAAGCAATTAGTTCTCAATTAAAAAAGTGTTGCCTCACACCACCAGCACTCACCCCGTGTCTGAAGTGCTGGACAAACTTAATGAGCCTGCCTGCCTACACAACAGACAACACAGATGATAACGCTTCACATATGTTGTCCAGTAAAGCAACCAGAACGTACACGATTAAATTCCAATGTCGTAGAAGACAAAAAAAAATCATAAAACCCTTTAAACATATAAAGTTCGCATCAACGACAACAACGTATTTATAGAAAATTGTATTATAAATAGTTTAACTCTTATAATCCTTTGCCGCAAGTATGATTGTATCATCAGTCTATTTGCATTTCCTGATTCTGCTTGTGACATAATAAAAAAAAAGTCAATTCTCATTATCTTCAAAGAGATATTAAAAGTGCATATAACGACGCGAATAAGCAAGCGCTCCCGCAAACTAGGTTGTTTTCAGAAACTCATAAATTAAATCCTGATAACATAAGAGGAGCTCATCTTTATGATGAGTATCATAAAGATGAGTCAAAGAGTCACTCTCTAGATGTAACATAACATATGTACATACATCAATAGTTATCCTATACATATATATATGCACTTGAAAAAAAAATGTGGACATGTGATTCCCATTATTCTCGTATATTAAACGTACGCGATTGTCTTATCTTAATGCGCTTGCCAGCAAAGGATTAGCAGGATAGGTGTTTAATACCATTAAAAAATATTTAAACACGAGCATATGGTTTTATCAGGCGAGATACAGTGACAAGAACGTCGCTCTGGACGTTTTGTCCCTTTTAAATTACAATTAAAAGTATCGATATTGTGTGTATATATATATATATATATATATATATATATATATCGCAAAGAAATCTACGTTTGTGCAGATAATAATGAGAATACTGTTCTTTCAATTTTTTAGAATATTTCAGATCCAAATTGCTATTGCTGGTAACAAATAAAAGTTACTGGGATTGAAATATTTTTGGTCAAAATCACAAATCATAAGGACATTGCCAATATGAGGTTGTTACGTTATGGGTCATATACTGTCTTCCCCATGGACGATGGACTTTGCTCCACAGGGTGTCTTCTTATTAATAAGCTTCTTTCATCTTAAACCGTCATGCTGGATACTTCGTAGATACCCTCTTCTCCACTCTCAATTTTGCCTAATCTCACTGTAGGAATAAGAGTTGGTTTCCCGTCCATTAACCTGATATGTATATGCATAATAATAATTTTCATTCGTTCTTTACACCGAACATCACACATTTAATCGGTCGTGATCACACCTGTTAAAGTAATCAGTACGATGATTTTGAGGTTAAAAATGGGATTTACCGACATCTCAGACTACATTTTTTAACTCAAAATGCCACATTTCATACGTCGATGTCCCAGTCATCAACTAGTGTACCAGTAATGGACAGTCGTGTTATAATACTGTAGATTTTGCTACAGTGAAAGCACATACTTCAATTACTAGTATACCTATCGATGACTGGAAATCCAACTTATGCCTATGCATTTAAAAAAAGAAATTATTAAACAAAAAATTATAATCATTTTCGTGAAAAATGGCATTTTCTGCACACTTCGACCATTAAGATTTTTTCAACAATTTATTGTCAAGTTTCTTGTTCCGCCGCGATAGTTTCTTGTTTACAAAGGTTTGAGTTATATTTCAGAATTTTTTCAGATCGATTGAGAAATTATTGTTGATATGGAAATCGTTTTGGAAGTCGCCTGAGTCACTTTAACCCAGAGTGGCCACCTGTAAATTCTACGGAGGTGTGATCATGACTAGTTAATTATCTGAATTAAATGTATTGTATAATAAAAGAATTTGAAATTTGAAAGTAAATTTAACTAGCAATTTGCGATTGTTGGTAGTGAATAGAAACTACTGGCATTGAAATATTTTCAGGGAAAATCCGAAATTGCAAGGACTGTGCCAATATAGGATTGATACGTTATAGGCTATACGCTGCAATATTGATATTTTGAATTGAATTTTACACGATATAAAATGTCCAGAGTAACCCTCTCGTCACTGTATCTCGTCTGATAAAACCATATGCTCGTTTTTAAAAATTTGTTAACGATATTAAGCACCGATTCAACTAATCTGCATGCACATACTCACAGGAGGACGGGGATTGGTCAGGATTCGGATTGGTCTGCGCAAACGGAGATCCATGAGCGCACCTGTGGGGGTGCGTTGGAGGGTGCGAGCTTCTCTGGGGGTATATATATCGAGAGAACGTGGAGCGATCCGTCTCACCGTTACATTCGCAAGGAAGAGAACCTAGTTTAACTTTTGTCGAATAAAATCATTCAGTCAGTAAATTCTATATTAATTATTGCATGATTCGCAAATCGTAGCTCTTGATCGATTTAATCAATTGCTGGTACCTGGATCAGGATCAGTGCCCTGTGCCCCGCTACCAGAAGTGTCTGCGCAATCATTAATATTATCTGTACGTCATAAAATCTCTCTACGCATCTCTAGGTGAGTAATATTCATTCCTTCATCAATCCTGATATCTTTTATTTCTAAAATTCTGTAAGCAACCCTTATCTTCTCGTAGATACACTACTCTGAAGTAATTCAGCGATTCTCAATATCTCCTTTGGATTGTACCTCTATTAGTTTGATAATACAGCTAGGATTGTGCTATTGTTCTGAATATCTCGAGAATGAATTATTTTGGCAAGACAATAGTGAAGGAGTTCGTAAACCTTAATGTTAAGCTGTAATACAATATTTCAGTTAATTGCCCTGGATAGTCGGTAATTGTTTTATTGTGTATTAAGTTGCTGGGAAATCTGTAGAAAGGAAAAGCGAGATCGGCAAGCGATTGATAACGATTTACAATGATAACTTGAAAGAAACAAAGGAAAACAAGGATCTGAAAAAGAAAATTTACATATCTTTGATACGATTCCATCGGGGAATAGTGACAGCCAATCTAAGAGCCAGCTATACGTTGACTCATATATACCTGAAAATGATAATGTGCAATTAATGTGCTCGTTATTCTGTGGTGCAGAACTTCTTTGTAATACCGATATTGTAATACCGATAATTATATATCGTTATCATGAAAATAGTATATATACGTATACGATTTAAAAGTCTGTAGACAATTTCACCATCTGTTGATGCCGAAAAATTTTTCAATCTCGCACGATTGGAATTTACATTCGAACATCTTAATCTATGGAATACAAGTGTCGCGTATACATTTTTTTTTCATTTTCAAATTTAACCATTATATACAAAAAAAATGTATGTAGAGTATTTTCGTACTTTATACAGCGGTTTCTTTTCGCTGAAAGCGATCGCGAAATTTCAGGTTAGATAATCGCATGCATTAAAGTCTTAACTCTCTTTACATAATAAATTTGATTTCCTCCCGTTCGGCGTCTCTGCATTTTACATCGACCAATAATATCCAAAATACCTTGGAAGAAGTATTGAGCTACGCTTGGTATAATAAGACATTAAAATTGTGATTTAAACGGATTCCGTAGCCCGGGGAATCAAGATTACGGAACGTCATCGGTATTACAAGGAATCTCGGCTACCTGTTGCTCTAGAATTTTCAGCTTCGACGCTAAACGTTTCTTTGCAAAGTCCAGATTTCCATTTTTTTTTTCATGGAATATTTTCTTACGTCCGAACCAGAGTAAAGTCCAATTAACCTAGTCTGGTGTCTTTGCCGAATCGTAATAGTGCCTCCTGTTTCGAGTCAATGCTTTCGAACTTAACTCAGGATCAGGCTATGCCTCTAATAATCGCGGGAGGAATGAATAAGGGTTGAATTTCAAATGGGGATGCTTCTGAATACACGAATACAGATGGATACCGCCATCGGATAAATAATTGAAGACTTAGGAGATCCTAACATCTACTGAGATTAAATGAAATTAAGGCGCACCTTCACCAAATATAATAAATTAAACCTTGCTTGTCTTGATATCAGATGATGGTGATGATTCGCCTAAATTAGACGTAAAGGCGATTGAATTTACGATGGGAAAAATAAGTTGATATGTGAAAATAGCAAAAGATGAAAACGAACTGAATGGAATTTAAATAATCATAATTTATCGCAACAGAAAAGTAAGCAGAGCAAACCAAAAACCAAACGACTACTCAAGATGACGAGTCAGTGGAAAAATGAGAGTAAAACGGAAATTTATTATGCAAATACCTTAAGGGAAACTACTAATTATAAGTACTGGAAAATTGTAACTAGGGCGGCGGTCCAGTGCAGAATGAGATTGAGTGCTGGGTGAATTTAGCGGACGTTATTTAGCAGAAGTGTATTTTTGGGCTAGGATAAAGAAGTGTTGCTATTAGTGGATCCATGGGAATTTCTAGGAGAAGCATACGTGGTGACTGAGATAGTTAGGTCATTGCTGCTGAAAATTTTGGCGGAACACTTTGCATGGCATTGAAGGATTTAGTGGGTGGAGATTGGTTAGAAAGGACGGCTATGGGGTTGAATCGGGAGACTGACAAGAAATTCGAGGAAGATCGATCAAATTTGGAATGAGAGTGGTTGCACATGTGCGCCTTCCACCTATCTCTGAATATCCGAATTATTGCTTAAGTAAATTTTGATATGCACGTACTCCTTGAGGGATTCATCTCTTTCCCTAAATCTGGAAGTCACCTGCGAGATAGCCGCTTCCAAGGGTCTCTATATGATATAAACCAGATTTCACTTACCCTTTGATATTCAATTATAGACCACGAATGTGGAATCTGATTTTTCATGCGAACGCAACAATTTAATATTTCATTATGTTGTAGTGTCTTCTCCAATTTCTCTCCTCTCCTCCCCCCTCTCCATCTCACTCTATCTTTTTATCTCTGTCTCTCGCTCACTTAAACATGTTACTTGTCACGGTACGTATCTTCTTTGTGGCTGAAACAAGATGGTCGATTCGGCATGTTTCCACTTTATAAAAGCAGCCAACCTTTTACAATGAGCAGCAGCAAACTGCCATCTGTGCTACCATAAACAGGAGGATAACGCTGTTTTAACGGGCTTTAAAAGTCCTGCAATTAATTTCTAGAAGGTCACGAAGTGCTGGAGGTAGACGTGGATATATATGAGGAAATACATACTTGCTTTTACAAGAAAACAGGATAACCGTATGAGGTTTAGTTATTCAGATAGAAGAAAAAAAAATGTCGCTGATCATTATCAATTACCTTTGTACACGCCCATTGTGTTTCCGTTTGATTCACATCGATAAAATCTTCGGAGCTAGATAAATTTTGAGTCACGATTGTAAAAATATTTGTTCATCACTTTGTCTCAAGCGTGACGTATAATTCTAAGAGATTAAAAGTCATACGCGAGGGAACTTAACAAATTTTGCATTCTTAAGAAAACATGTCATTAAAAACATTTCCCTTACCCGTATACATTTTTATAATATGTCATTGTTCAGTTAATTACAACCATCGTTTATTAAAGTGATCAATAAAATGCGACGAGCTATCCTAATTATAATCCCTCCCCTTGACATGATATCACCACTTTCATATTTTATTTGATATGTAATCAAATCAAGAACTGCAATCACAGCCAACACAAAGAATCATTAATATCGATGATGCAAAAATATCATACTCAGAGATGTAATAAATATGTGTGTAAATCACTGATTTAAGTAACTATCACGTCCCTGAATACGGCATTTTAACACTGCCTATATGCGACTGTTACTTGTGTTTGCTGAGATGACTCTCAGTGAATAATTAGTCACATATGAGCCGCTCAGTGCACACATCGATTAACTCCACTTTTTGAAAAATCTTAAATTTAAGTGTCAAAGCACTTGGTATAGTCATAACTTTTTATATTTATAATAACTTTCCTGAATAATAAAGATTAGCACCATTAAACGGCACATTTTTTTTGGCCATTGAATAATAAGTAATTTACAATATACATTACTTCATCGCATTTCTCAACTTTTTGTTTTATGGAGTTAATCGATGTGTGCACTGAACGGCTCATATGATAATCATGAGTGCACCTATTAACACATTAAAGGCGGGAGGCATAGTACTACGATTTATCTCGACTGTAGCTTAAAGGCGGGAGTCGTATTAGTACGGTTTGCAACCGCATTGCGCAATCCATGCGCCACTTTACATTTGTATTTTGTATGTTTTGTGGTTTTTATGTCTAAATTTTTGTATGATTACACAAAATATCGCCCGCTCTTCACCCGCTAAAACCGAGGCGGGGCTGTCGCCGCGTTACCTAGCATACTTTCGTCAAGATCCCCCGCCTTTAATGTATTAATATCACAATTTTCCGATGTATTATCAGATTAAACTTTTAAACTGTTTTTTAAATTTACGAAATAACTACGAAACAGCGTATAAAGTACCTGAATCAGGACATATAATCTTTTTTGATTACGAATTTTAAATAATCATTGTCACTGCACATTGTAGATATAAAGTCAATGATGAAACGACAAATATGGCGTTGGAAAATGACGTTCCGAACAAAATTTAGGAAAACGGAGAAACTGTAGGAAAAAAAACTTATACTGGAATAAAAAATTACATAACAAATACACAGCGCATTTTCAGTACATCAATTTAATAATATTTGTAATAACAACAACAAAAATATCAAATTATTCCACGAAAAAAAAAACTCGTAATCGCTCCGTCGAAAAGGATTATCTTGCATACCTGTATATAGAAATACGTATATGATATAAAATGGCACAATTTCATATACACAATTCACATTCTTTTTAACCCTTTTATCAAGAGGAAACCGACAAGCAGTATTCTAGCCCATACTCGTACATAAATACAAAAGCGATCTCGCTTATCCATACTGACGCCAGATATATAGATATCTAACAGCCTTCCCTCTAATCTCCATGTTCCTCGGTTAGTTAAAAAATAATAATAAGGGAATCAACAAGTGTATACGGCAAGCCCGTTTGAATTACAATGAAAGAGAAAGATCATAATATTGTTACGAGGATGAAAAAAAAAACGTGAATTTACCTTCATTTTTTTAAATAATACAGCCTCTGCCAAAAGAGATATCAAAGCGCTCTGTACTCGTTCAATCGCAATACCCGCAGCATAGATTATAATCTGATAGAAGCTCGCGCAAAATTGAGATTAAAGAAATCCAACCAATAAAATTTGCGTAAATAATAGTGGCTTAATCCGCGCTGTACAAAGTTTCCTCTTGAATATCAGTGTCTTCTTATTAAACTACTTGAAAACAACGACAGCTGCGCATAACAATGTTTCTCTGTGTCTCCTATATACGTCACATATCTCATAGTAATATATTAGATAATTTAAACTCCTCTAAGTGATCCCAGCCATTTTATTACGTGGTTAATACAATTTTGATGCCAAGTATCTAATATGTAGTTAAAGCCACTAAATAATTCCTGGAGTTCGCACAGAAGCTATTTCCCGATCGTCGAAACTGCCTGAAA